TTCCTCAATAATTTAAATATGGGCCCTCCCTTGTGCCCTGGGGTTAAGTCTCAGCGCTATCACCACTGCAACCTGAGTTTGATCTCTGGCCAGGGAGTTAACCCACATATGGCACAGTAGACCTCTCCTGTCTTGCCCACTGCTCCCCTTAGCAGTGTATTTCAGTAAATCAGTCTGTTCTGCTCCCCACTCTGTCTCTGGTGAATCCTCTCACTCCACGCTTCACCCCCTCACCTCTGGCCTATACCCATTTCTTCTATGCAAAAATAAATAAATAAATATATATATATAAATAAAATGATATATATCTACACAGTGGAATAGCAATAAAAAGGAATAAAGCAATAAAAAGGAATGGAGTACTGTTAAATGCTACATGGATGAACTCTGAACACATATAAGAGGACAGACATAGTCACTTATTGTGTGATGCATTTATGTGAAACGTCCAGAATAGGCAAGTCTATAAAGATAGAAAGTAGATTAAAGGTTGCCTGAGAGTGGGGTGAAATGGGGGTGAGGGTATTTGGGGGGGTGCTACAGGACTTCTTTTTTATTTTTTAAAGATTTATTTATTTATGCATATCAGAACTGGGATGTAGGCCAGAGGTGCGAGGACGAGAGGATTCACCAGAGACAGAGTGGAGAGCAGAACAGATGGATCTACTGAAATATGTTGCTGAGGGGAGCAGCGGGCGAGACAGGAGAGGTCTAGGCTGGTTAGCTCCCTGGCCAGGAATCAAACTGTTGCCCTGCTGCAGTGGCTGGTGATAGCTTCATAGAGCTTCGACTTAACCCCTTGTGCCACCAGAGAGGCTACAGGACTTCTTTTTGAAGTGATGAAAATGTTCTAAGATTGATTGTGATGATGATTGCACAATTATATGACTATACTTAAAGCTAAATGTGTATTTTTAATAAATGTATGAATTTCAGTATATCTCAAGCTGTTTCTAAAAAAAACCGTAGGGGCCTCCCTGGTGGCACAGGGGTTAAAATCAGCACTATGAAGCTATCGCCAGCCACTGCAGCATGAGTTCGATCCTTGGCCAGGGAGTTGACCCACATGGCACAGCAGACCTCTCCTGTCATGCCTGCTGCTCTCCTTAGCAGGGTATTTCAGTCAATCCGTCTGTTCTGCTCCCCACTCCATCTCTGGTGAATCCTCCAATCCCTTTCTCCGCACCTCTGGCCTACACCCCAGTTCTTGTATGCATAAATAAACTTTAAAAATTTTTTTAAAAATAAAATAAAAATGAAAACAACTGTGGCTCTCCCTACCCTGCTAGGTACTTCCTTCCTGGAGGGCTTGGGTCCATTATTCACTCCCTGAGGGTACAGTAGTTCAATCACCTTTGCCTTCTCACCTACAATCATGCGCCATCCCTTTTCTCCATCGCATCTACTAGGAGAGCACGCTGTCCAAGAAACACAGGAATCGGCTCCATGATGGGACAATGGAATCACAACAAGGGATGTCTGGAGTCAGACTCAGAGCCACCCATGGATCAGACGTCAAGTTCTGGGCCTGCTGAAGAGGTGACCAGAGCCACGACAGAGGCCAAGAGGATGGGGACAGGCCACTCTAAGAGTGATCGTCAGAGATGATGATTGTGATGATGGTAATGAATGGAGCTAGCAATGACTATTTCCAACAAGTCAGTCTACGTGTACATTATTTCTTTTCACCCTCATGACAATCTTGTGAGATAAAAGGTATTATTGGGCCTCCCTGGTGGAGCAATAAATAAGACACAACCTATGAAGCTGTCCTCAGCCTCTGCAGCACAGGTTCGATTCCCAGCTGGCCAGGGAGCTACCCGCATGGCGCAGCAGACCTCTCCTGTCTAGCCCACTGCTCCCCTCAGCAGTGTATTTCAGTCAGTCTGCCTGTTCTGTTCCCCACTCTGTCTCTGGTGAATCCTCTCAACTCCCACAACCCTGGCTGGTACCCCAGTTCTTGTATGCATAAATAAATAAATCTTTAAAAAAAAAAAGGTATTGCCATCCATATTTTAGGTATGAGGAAACTAAGCCCCAAAGAAGTTAGATACCTGAGCCAAGGTCACATAGCAAGGAGAGGCAGAGGTCAGATTGGATTCCAAGTGTATCATGGTCAACTGACATTACACTCCCTGCATCGAATTCCACCAGGATTCAGGGACATTTACACATGAATATTAGAGATCTTTGACCATGAAAGTCGTTATATAAGCAAACAGTGGCTCTTTAGAGGTCACAGACTCCTTCGCCCACACAGTGTTCCAACCCCTGAGCAAGCGCTTAGAGGTTTATTTCTCTCCCAGGAACACTGACACCAGTTTCAGGAAAAGACCCATGGCAGCTGTAACTGAACTAGAAATAGAAACATGAGTGGCCCAAACAAGCACTTACAGGGGTTCTGAGAAGAAGCAACTACCACAAAGTGAGCATGTGGCCTCAGATGCGTAAAGGCTGCCGAGCAGGGTGCTGGCACTCAGAGACATGGGTCTGAGGAAAGCAGGCTCACAAGCTGTGAGCCTGGCACCATGGGACTTGGGCCTAACTTCCCTCTGTGATTCTCAACTAGTTCCTCAGATGCCATATGGTCAGACCACAAGAGCCTCAAGGTTCCTGCCCCTCAGTACAACTGGACGGAGCGCTGAGGACAGGCTCATGTATGCAGCTGTCACGAAAATTCCCAGCCCACAAGTTCCCACCCACTCTCCAGGCCCCTTATTACACCACTGATCCTGTCATGGTTGAATTGTGTTGTCCCACCCCCAAAAATATGGTGAAGTCCTAGCCCCACAGTACCTGTGAATTTGAAGTTACTCAGAAATAAAGCTTTTGCAGTTGTAATCAAGTTAAGTCATTAACGTGGATCCTAATCCAAAAGGACTGGCTCCTTTAAAGAGGAGAGAGCAAGTGCAGATTAGAGACCTAGGGACAGAATATGACAGAGGCAGAGACAGAAGTGCTGCAGCTGCAAATCCAGGAGCGCCCAGGTCTACCAGAAAGTGAGAGAAGTGAAAAAGAAGCATGGCCCTACTAATACCTTGATTTTAGACTTTCAGGCTCCAGAACTGAAAAAGAACATACTTCTGTTGTTTTCAGCCATTAGATGTGTGGACTTTGTCACAGCAGCCACAGGAAAGTAATAAAGACTGCATCATGCTCTCATGCTCACAGGCTCCAACCACAGTGGGCGTTCCTGTGTTCCCTGTATTCCTCCATAGGTCAAGACCTTTCCCACCCCAGGGCCTTTATTGTTTGTGGCTCTTTCAGAAGGTTCTACACTCACAGTCCCCAACCTCCCCATTCTCAAAACACACACACACACACACACACACACACACACACACACACACACACACACACACACACACACACACGGCTTTGCTCCTTCCAAAGGTGACTTAAATGTTAATCCTTAAGGGGCCTCCCTGGTGGTGCAAGGGGTTAAGACACAACCTATGAAGCTGTCCGCAGCCACTGCAGCACGAGTTCCATCCCTGGCCAGGGAGAAACCCACATGGAGCAGCAGACCTCCCCCAACTCGCCCGCTACTCCCCTGGCAGTCTATCCTCTCACCTCCCACACCTCTGGCCTGTACCCCAGTTCCTGTATGCATAAATAAATAAATCTTTAAAAAAGTTACTCCTTAAAAAAGAAGGTATCCCTGGATTCCTTGGTGGTTCAGGGGTTAAGTCTCAATGCTATCAAGCTATCACTAGACACTGAAGCATGAGTTCGATCCCTGGCCAGGGAGGTAATCCACATGGCGCAGCAGACCTCTCCTGTCTCGCATGCTTCTCCCCTCAACAGTGTATTTCAGTAGATCGACCTGTTCTTTTTTTTTTTTTTTAAGATTTATTTATTTATTTATATAAGCACTGGGTACAGTCAGAAGCGCGGAAGGGTAAGAGAATTCACCAGAGCCAGAGCGGGGAGCAGAGCAGGCAGAAGGACCCAAGTACACTGCAGAGGGGAGCAGCGGGCGGCAGGAGAGGTCTGTGCGCCATGTGGGACCCTCCTCCGGTGGCTGGGGAGCAGCCGGGGATCGAACCGGCGCTGCAGAGGCTGCAAGCAGTTTCACAACCCAGAGCTCAACCGCTGCGCCACCGGGGAAGCCCTCCCCTGATTCTTTCTTGATGAAGGAGTTCTAGAAGTGGATTGCTGGCTCCATTATTTCGCTGTGTTTTTAAGGTTTCCAACACGCAGTACCAACCTGGTCCAGATGTTCTTCCCGGAGGCTCTTCCTCCAGGAGAAGGGGCAGGGTGAGAATGAGGACTAGGGTGGAGCAGTGGAACTGGCAATACTGTCATCACCAGGAGACTTGGTGCTGGGTGGCCAGGCAGCCTCCCGGAGGCCAGGCAGCTGGGCCTTGGGGCGGTGTGGAGCTGTCTCCTCTGGGAGTCTTCTGCTTGGGCATGTCCTTGGAAAGCATGACCTGCTTTGGTTTGGAAGCAACTAAGCCTTTGCCATACTCAGGAGATGCCTTTGAGAGTGTAGGAATTTCCCGCCATTCTTAGGAAACGAATTTGAAAATGAGTTTTCAGTGAATCTCATTACCCTTGAGAGGTCAATAGATCTAGGAAAGTTGTGTCTTCTTGCATATGGTTGTGATGTGGAGAAGGATCCAGGCAAGGACCCTCCAAGCTGGACAGGGAGGAGCTACAGTTGCTCTATGATGCTGCCCAATCCTGCTCCCCAGGCCTGCCCCATCCTGCCCCATCCAACTAGCTAAACTATTTGCCAGGGAGCAGCCACAGACCCTGCCCAAGTCAAGACAAGCTTCCTCCCCCTCCTCCCTTTTCTCCTCTTCCCTGTCCCTCCTCTGTCTCCCCCTCCCTTTGACTCCCAAGGGGTTCTCGCAGAGAAATTAGGGGTGTGGTCATTTCTTAAAGAGTGCCACTTTCATTCCTCTGCAGGGTTTCTGTTCTCTTCCAGCCCTTTACTAGAAAGGCTGCTGTTACAGGAAATAACCTCATTTCCCCAGTCTGTCTCCTGACAGCTCCCTCTTCAGAGAAAGAAGAGCCGAGCTAGAAATCAGACTATTAAAGCCAGGCAGGCAGACAGCATGGCATAGCTGCTGCACTGTCTTCGGCTGTGTGTGGAGTCCCCTGTGAGTATAGGTGGGGTAGGTTTGACGGTGGGGGCTTGAGGGGGGAGCTGGTGATCAGGGTTGTGACTGCAGGGGTGTGTGAGGGGGTTTCTGAATACCCTCAGTTTTGGGGAAGCAAAGGGCAGTGGAATGGGGGCCTTCTCAAGCTCCACCTCCTCCAAGCTGTGATGTGGCCTATCAGGGCCTGGGAGGAAGGGCCCTTCCTGGGGAGGGGGGGCACCGGAAAAACCTTCCTCCCCAGCACACCCTTGGCTGTGGGCTATGGAGGGGGGTGGGGTGGGGGGGGAGGTGACACAGGGCTAGAGTGTTGTGGAGAAATTCCATTTACTTCCTACTTCCCTTTTCAGTTTGCACCAAGAAGGCTGCCCCTGGTCCCTGCGAGCTGTGACATCTGGCCTTTTCCAGAAACAACCTATCTGGGAGGTAGGAGGTAGGATCAAGACAGTGCGTCCAGAACCCAAGGCAGAGATCCTCCAGCGCCCTTCTGGCTGCCTCGCCCCACCCCTTCAACTCTGTTTTTTCTGCTTTGCTGACTAAGGTCCTTGCTGGGTATGTTCTGGGAGAGGGAAGGCCAGGTCCCCAGTAGTCCCTAGGTGGGTGACCAATCATAGGGCAATTTCAGGACTGGGTCTGGGATAGTGGCTGACTTCTCTCTTCACCAGACCTGCTATCTCACTGGGGTTGGGTGGCAGATGCGTGTGGGCACCTGTACTTCTTCACCTGTTCTAATTTCTTTTTTTGTTTAAAGATTCATTTATTTATGCATACAAGAACTGGGGTACAGGCCAGAGGTGCGGCGGGGGTGAGAGGATTCACCAGAGACAGAGTGGGGAACAGAACAGGCAGATCGACTGAAATACACTGCTGAGGGGAGCAGTGGGTGTGACAGGAGAGGTCTGCTGCACCATGTGGGTAGCTCCCTGGCCAGAGATCCAACTTGTGCTGCAGAGGCTACTGGTAGCTTCATGGGTTGCATCTTAACCCCTTGCACTACCAGGGAGGCCCACTTGCTCTAATTTCAACAAATCCTTCCTAGACAGGAGTTCCGGGGTGCTGTATAATCACCCTGTTCCCTAGAGTTGTCTCTAAGAGCAGCCCCTGGGTATAGCTGTCTGTGGGGAAAGGTGCCCACCAGAGCCACAGCATGAGAACAGCAGGAGAGTGAGGGGAACACACCATACATTTCTTGGTCCCCACAGATGCCCCACTCTAACCTGCATCCATCCATCCCGCGGCCCCGGGGTTACGGGGCCCAGAAGGCAGCCTTGGTCCTGCTGGTTATCTGCATGGCAGCCCTTTGGGGACTGGGGGAGCTGCAAGGACACACTTTCTGGAAGCTGGTGCACTACCTGGCTTCCCTGCAGCTGGGACTGCTATTCAAGGGGATGTGCAGTATGGCTGAGGAGCTGTGTCACATCCACTCCAGGTAACTCCCTGCAGCACCCAGGCCTTCCTCCCTTGACCTCCAGCCTTGGCCCTCTGGCTGAGCTAGACTGGAGTTGGGGCTGTGTTGTCACCCACAGGTACCAGGGCAGCTATTGGAAGGCCATTTGGGCCTGCGTGGGCTGCCCCTTTCGCTGCGGGACCCTGCTGCTGTTGTCTTGCTGTTTCTACTTCTTCAACCCAAAGGAGGTTGGCATGTCCTTTGCTTGGATGCTTGCCTTCATGGGTCTCTCACGGTCACTGGACATCCTTCTGAGGCTCCAGGTATGACACAGAGGGAGGTAGAGGGTATGAACTCCCAAGAGAGGGACTAGTTTAGAGGTTGGTCCTTGGGGCTGACACCTAAAACGTCCTGGGACAATGGGTTCAGCAATGGCAAAGAGGGGAGCAAGTCAGCAGCCGATTGGGGAATCCAGTTTGAGGAGGAGGCCTCTGGGTGGTCCTTCATGGAGGCCCCTCCGCGCCATCCACAGGAACTGCCCCCAGCTGAGGTCTCTGCAGTCTGTGAAAAAGGGAACTTCAACGTGGCACATGGGCTGGCATGGTCATTTTATATCGGGTACCTGAGGCTGATCCTGCCAGGTGAGCCATCCACTCTGCCCCATCTCCAGATATATAAGACAGACAATAAGACAGGCAGCCTCTGTGTTTCCAGAACTTGCTATATTTTTCTTGGTTTTTTTTATTTAAAAAAAATTTTTTTTATTATTTTTTATATCATTTTTCATTTTCAAACAATATTTGTTTCCCCCCACCCCCTCAGGTGTAGTCCCCATAGAGTTTCCTTCCCCAAGGCACCCGTGCACCATCACCTCAGTCCCCTGTGCTCCTCCCTCCCTCCCTCTGATCGCTCTCCCTCCTCCTCCCCTGCAGGATGGCTCTGATTTATAATTGTCTCTGTTTTTGCTTTGTTGTGTTTTGTACCGTTATTATTTTTTTACACTGATGTCTTATTTTTTTCCCCTATATTCCTGTTATAAGTGAAACCATCCAGTATTTTTCTTTTTCCTTCTGGCTTATTTCACTGAGCATAATTCCCTCTACTTCTATACTTTTCAAAGTATTTTCAGGTTCAATAAATAATTTGATCCCTAAAGCTATCCAGTAGGCATGAAGGATGTTATTATTATGCCCACTTTACAGGGGCAGGGATGAGGAATATGGGACTTAGAGCCATTAAGTGACTTGGCCAGAGTAACCCATGAATCCTTTCAATAAATATTCAATACATGTTGTGTGCCCTTCATGTGCAATTTCTCCTTTAATTCATACCCTGTGAGGAAGGGATAATCAGCTTTGATTTAGAGATAAATCAATTGTGATTCTGGCATGTCCAAAATCAGTCTAGTGAGGGGAGACAGGATTTGAGCCCTTGGCCATGACTCTGAGGGCCCACGTGTTGCGTCTGGCCTGGCAGCCAAGGCTGTGGTTCTCCCACATCCCAGTGATGTCTTCCCTGAACACTGGGGTTTGTGCCAGGAAACACAACTACAGCCAGCAGCCTGACATAGTATACTGGGCAAGGAGTGGGAAGGGTTCTTAGCTGCTCTGCCCCTCCTGGCCCCCTGGCCCTAGATGAGAGTGGGCTGGACTCCCAGTTCTTTGTCACCCCACGTGTTGAGGGGACTAAAGGCCTGGGTCCTAGTCCTGGGTTGGGTGGGACACAGAGAGATGACTACTTGGGCTTTTCCACCCAGGGCTCAAGGCCCGGATCCAAACTTACAACCGACTCCACAACAACATCCTGCGGGGTGCAGGGAGCCGTCGACTGTACATCCTCTTCCCATTGGACTGTGGGGTGCCTGATGACCTGAGTGTAGCCGACCCCAACATTTGCTTCCTGCATGAGCTCCCCAGGCAAAACACTGACCGTGCTGGCGTCAAGGGCCGGGTTTACTCCAACAGCGTCTATGAGATTCTGGAGAATGGGCAGCGGGTGAGTGTGCAGGGAGGTGGGTGCCCCTGGGGGAGAGGTCAGGAGCAGCATTCCAGAATTCTGGCCCTAACCAAGCACTGATAAAACTTCACCACCCTTCTCTGAGTCTCAGTTTCCTCAACTGGTTCCGGGGAATGGCAAGATTTGGCCATTGTTAAGTAACATTTTTTAAGCCTTTTCTAGATGCTTCAACTGACCACCTCACTGAACTCTCACCACCGCCCTGTGTGCTAGGGACTGTTAAGACCCCTGCTTTATAGATGAAAAAATTAAGATTGAAACAATGAGAGAGTAGATCATTTCAACATGAGTATACCATGCTTTTTTTTTTTTTAAGATTTATTTTATATTTATGCATACAAGAGCTGGGGTACAGGCCAGAGGTGCGGGGGTGGGTGTGGATGGGGGGTGAGAGGATTCACCAGAGACAGAGTTGGGAACAGAACAGGCAGACTGACTGAAATACACTGCTGAGGGGAGCTGCAGGCGAGTCAGGAGAGGTCTGCTGCGCCATGAGGGTTTCTCCCTGGCCGGGGATCAAACTCGTGGAGCTCATGCAGTGGCTGAGGTTAGCTTCACAGGTTGCAGCTTAACCCCTTGCGCCACCAGGGAGGCCCACCATGTTCTTGACTGAAAAGTTGCCCTAGATGAAGACTGACCCAGTGTCTAAAGGATTTCACATGGGTGTTGGAAGGGGGGATCCAGATCAGGGTTGAACCCTAGAGTCCAGCCCCGAGATTTGATTTCCAGCTGGAGTGATTAACAGCCCAGCTCTGTGGACCTTGCCCCGCTCTCTGAGGAGGAGAGGATCCGTGATGGGCAGATGGGTTTAGTGCAGCCCTGGCCCGGATTTCAAGAGTAGGATGTCAGCGGCAAAGACCAATCAGACAGGATAGACCCCATCAGCACCTACAGACTAAGGGAACAGGGGCCCGGCCAGTGGCAGTGGGGCCCTTAGGCTGTCTTACCAGTCCCTAATTAACTCTAGTCTTTCTCTCACCTCCTCCAGGCCGGCACCTGTGTCCTAGAGTACGCCACCCCCTTGCAGACCCTGTTTGCCATGTCACAGGATAGCAGAGCTGGCTTTAGCCGGGAGGATCGACTGGAGCAGGCCAAACTCTTTTGCCGGACACTTGAGGACATCCTGGCAGAGGCCCCTGAGTCTCAGAATAACTGCCGCCTCATTGTCTACCAGGGTAGGGATTGACAGGCAAGAGGGCAGAAGGAGACTAGGGATCTTCCAGGGGATCCAGAGATATGGTAGCACCATAACCTGGGCCTTCACTTCCCTGAGCCATTTGATTGCTTTCTGTGGTCTGGGGCTATGGGCCCTGGGTATAACATGAAGAGGGGTCCCTCATTTCATTTAGAGATGCCAGAGAAAGCAGGAGAGCCCCCAGTCAGGGACCAAGGGACCAGGCTGCAGCCTTAGCTCTGCCATTCCCTTGCCATGTTTCCTTGGGCAGATGTCTGCCCTCTGTGGGCATCACCAAGAAGGATGGGATCCCATTATTTCTAGAGCCACTCTAGCTCTAGGATTCCATGAAACTCTAGCCTCAGTGGCTAAGGAGTGGGAGGTTTTGGGGAGGGAGGAGGGTTGGAGGATTTGCTCAATAAGACCCAGGCGTGTGCTTTTTTTTTTTTTTTTTTTTTTGCTTAGAAGAACTGGGGTATAGGCCAGAGGTGGGGAGCCGGGGGGAATTCGCCAGAGACAGAGTGGGGAGCAGAATAGGAGGATTTACTGAAATACACTGCTGAGGGGAGCAGTGGGAGAGATGGGAGAGGTCTGCTGTTCCATATGTGGGTCACCTCCCTGGCTGGGGATTGAACTCAGGCCAGAGGCCCCCAGGTGTGTGCTTAAGTGAGAATTTGTGAGGTCCTAACTCCACTCCTCTCCACCTTCTCCTGTTCCAGAATCTTCAGAGGGGAGCAACTTCTCACTGTCTCAGGAGATTCTCCGGCACCTGAGGCAGGAGGAAAGGGAGGAGGTTTCTGTGGGCAGCATAGAGGCCCCAGCGGTGCCTCCTGCCTCCACGCTGTCCCAAGAGCCTGAGCTCCTCATCAGTGGCATGGACATGCCCCTCCCGCTCCGCACGGATATGTTCTGAGGCTCATCTTGCCTGAGCACGAGCGATCCCTAAGACTCCTTCAGTGTCTGGATGTCCACGTCCTCCCACAGCGGGCCATTCAGACAAGGTTCCTGGAGTTGACATGACAAAATGAATCCCACGATCTGGGGCAACTTGTTTTACCCCTTGGAGCCTCAGTATCCTCATCAATGGAATGGGATTATAATCATTACCTTACCTACCTGACAAGGCTGTTGTGAGGACAATGACTATAAGTGTAAGGTTTTGTGAATTCTAAAAAAAATCAGGTAAGCGGGGCCTCCCCGGTGGCGCAGCGGTTGAGCGCTGGGTTGCGAAGCTGCCTGCGGCCTCTGTGGCGCCGGTTCGATCCCCGGCCACCGGAGGAGGGTCCCACATAGCGCGCAGACCTCTCCTGCTGCCCGCTGCTCCCCTTCGGTCCTTCTGCCTGCTCTGCTCCCCACTCTGGCTCTGGTGAATTCCCTCACCCTCCCGTGCTTCTGACTGTACCCAGTGCATATATAAACAAACAAACAAACAAATAAGTAAAAAAAAAAAAAAAACCTGCCTCTATAAAAAAAAATAAATTAATTAAAAAAAAAAATCAGGTAAGCTTCAGGGACACGCCAGATGTCTTTCCCTGGACCCTCCGAACTATGCACCACCCTTCTCTGCCTCCTCTGCCCTGGAGTGGCATCAACAGGCTCCCTTGTCCTCTCACTTTGGTTATGTTAGGTCAGTGAGGACTCCCCGGGGGGGAGAAAAAGAGGGTAAGGTTGGGGCATTTACTCCCCAGCCCTCGTGCTGTGATATCAAGGTCATGTGGGCTCTCTGCAGCTCTCATGTCCAGTCACAGCTCAGTAACCCTCCGTAACTCCAGGTCCCATCAACAGCAACATCCCTTGCCCCTTTAGGTCTACAGTGGTACCCCACCTTGCTCTGCTTGGGGTACTCACTCTCACGTGGTTTCCTTATTCCCTACCATTTATAAGTAGTTCCTTTTTAAAATCACTCCTCAGATGATCCATTAGAGTGTGTGCTCTTGCACCCCAGTCAGACTCTGGCTGACATTATCCAAATCTGCATGCGACAATTTGCGTCCTCACACCTCTCCTCATCCTAGAAGAAGGCAGTGAGTGGGGAGTGTCATTTTGATGTGGACAGAGTCCCCAAGGCAGGTTGAGGGCACAGAGTGGGGGAGCACCCCCCACACCACCTGTTCTTTCTGTGCCCGCATCTCCAGTGCAGGCCTGGGGGGGCAGGGAGTGGCAGGCCCCAGCTAGCACACAGAGTCCACAAGGGGTAGACAGCTGCAGCCTGGGCAAGGGTCACTGAAAGCAGCAGGGGCCACTGACGCAATGTCCTGGGATAAGTGGGCCTGCGCAGGATGAGGGGCCAGGGATGCCATTATTGAGCCACTGCAACAACATGAAGAGGGCAAAACTGCCCCCATCCGAGAAAGCAGGTGGCCCACTTCTGCCAGTTCCACCTGTGCCACTCAGGACATGTCCCCTGGGACTGGCCCCTCCCTCCCACCTTTGCTTTTATCACAAATACTCAGTCTACATTTCTGAGTTGCACATCACTGTGGAGAAAGGTTCTCTACATAGACACAACCCCCAAGGATGACAGAACCAAAGGTGTGAAAAGAGAAATAGCCCTTTTTCTCCTTGGCTGTCCCAGACATTTTGACCCCAAAGTCTGAACACCCTCCAACACCACGCTAGACACTTCTGCACCTAGAAACCTGCCCAGAATCAAGGGCCCCCCTACTGGACATTCCTCTATCCATCCAGTGCCAATGTGGTGCTCAGGATTTAGGATCTGATGGTCCCAGGTTCAAATCCCGACTTTACCATTTAATATCTGTGTCTACCTGCTATCCCTGCTAACTGTGACTTCTCCTTCCAAGGCTGTTTGACGGGTGAACAGCATAATGTATAACGGTCCACAGGTGAGCCCAGCGCCCAGCACATAGCTGGTCCACATGCAGGAGCAGTTGGTAACATTATAGGTGCTCCTTGCCAGGCCCAAGGATGCAAGTTAGTTCTCTGCGCACTTACAGTCTCCACTTCAGTACCTCTTTGACTTCTGCTGTTCTCCAGATTCCCTGACTGTGTGGGAACCTCATCAGAGGCAGTCCCCAGGGTAGACTTGTCACCCTCAGGAATTCCCCAGGATAAAGCACTAAGAGTCCTCCATAGACATCCATCTGCAAGTTCCTGACTGCATGTGAGTGAGGCTGAGTGGTGTCAAAGAGAGTGATATCCATCCAGACAATCACCGGGAGGCTCCATTCTGCCTCCCTGGCCCCCTGCATCTTCCCAACCTCCATGTCCCTCCTCTGAAAACCTCCTCACTCCTTCCTTCTCCCAGATAAGATCCATGGAGCTCCTTTTCCTTCCATGTTTTCCTACCAGTTGGAAGGTTTTGGATCTAGGATAGATTCAAGGCTGGTTTCAGAAAATGGGAGGCAATGAGAGCCCCCAAATTCCTCCCATCCCATCCTGGGAAGGCAAGAGAGAGTCAGTGGGGGCCATTGAAAGACAGTCTGGGGAGCTATAAAAGGTGAATGAGACTTTGCAAGGGCATTGAAAGTACTTTGACACTAGGGCCTCCAAGAGGGGTTAAGTCTCAGCGCTATCACCACTACAGCCATGCCTGCCAGGTAGCTAACCTACATGGCACAGCAGACCTCTCCCATCTCGCCCACTGCTAGCCTTAGCAGTGCATTTCAGTAAATCCTCCTGTTCTGCTCCCCACCCTGTCTCTGTTGAATCCTCTCAACCCCCCACCTCCGTCCTACACCCCAGATCTTGTATGCAAAAAGAAAAAGAAAAAAAAAAGAAAGCACTTTGACACCAAAAGGGGCAGAATTTAGAGGTGGGAGGAGGGACTTGGAGAAGGAGCCTTGTGGTCCCTGAAGAGGAGGGAGTAGCTTTGGAAGGGTGGTCTTGGGTGTTGGGAATGTTCACAGCAGCATGTGTCTGGACAGGGACCGTAAACTTCCTTTATTTCTCCAGTCCACCACAGGGCCTTCTCTGTAAACATTCAGCTCCAGCTGAATCCATATGTGTTCTTCTGAAGCTCTACTATCCAGGCCCCAATTTGCTTTTGGCCAAATTCTCGGTTTAGTTTCTTGTTCTGAGTCAAGTCAGGCCAACTTTCCAAAGTCTCCCTTCTACAGATATGTAACTTCATCAATGCTGAGCCGAGGTCCATCTGGCACAGGGCAGAAGCCAAGGATAAGAGATCCCTGCCGGGTATCTTGGTAACTGTCCTGGGGGCCCAGCAATCGCCAGTGGATGAGATAAATGCCCCCTTCCGGCTTCGGCACTGGTGGCTCTGTGTGGAGAGTGACATGGCCCTGTTGGAGCCTTGGCCCAAGGCGGACAGCCACCACGATGCAGACTGCCAGCAGGACAAAGACAGCAACGATGACGGTGAGCGCTGGCAGCCCATCCTGGCGAGGGGGCGCCCAGGGCTGCTGCCCCACTGAGCCATTGACAGCCGGAGAAGTCCAGGAAGAATGGCCAGCCTGGGAGGGGAGTGGCAGAGAGAGAGGGTGACCTAGCCATGTAGACAAAGGAAAGGACCAACATAGAGAGGCAGACACCCAAAGGGAATTGGGAGAGAGAGACAACGAGATTCAGGGAGAGAGGAAGAGAGACAGAGAGTGACAGAGTAAAAACATGGAGAGAGAGAGAGAAGCAGAGAGCTAAAGACTGACAGAAACAGACACACACGCAGCATCACAGAGAATAGAAGAAAATGAGAGGGCAATCCAGAGAGCGAGAGACAAGGTGAGAGGCAGGAGGGGAGGCAGCGGGGTGGGAAGAAACAGGGAGACAAAAGTCATTCAGACAAAGAAGGACAAAGCAAGAGAATCCCTTACGGCCTGCCACAGAGTTGGCCCCCAAGCCCAATCCCAAGCCTTCTTGTCCCAGTTCTCCAGCAAAACAGATCCTGGGCCCTGGGTCAGGCACCAAACCCACTGTGGGCTGCAGTGCACCCTGGGCAGTGGGCAGAGAGCAGCTGTGCTTTAACTCCTGGGAAGAGCATTGTGACCAGCATCCTAGGTTCCCACTATCCCTGACTCACACAGAAGGCAAACTGCGGTGGTATCCTGGGGGGAGGGGAGAGGAAGAGGAGACAGGAACCACACATTTGGGGTGCGGCATCAGCCCATAACATCCCCCCCAGGTTGTAGAATCACAACCGGATCCTGGAGGGGAGGGGGTGTCCGTTGTTCATTCCTAGCTCTGTCAGGGCTGTGGAGTAGCTCTGTCACCTCTGCCTCTTTCAGGGTCCCAGCACTGTTCTACCTGAAGTTGCAGGTCACCCTGCTAAGTGCTGGATGAGGGGGGCAGTTGCAGTGAAGGTAGCAAGCCCCTGAGCTGGCGAGGTATCCACAGGCTCAAGAAACTCCCTAGCCTCCCTTCCCAGATGGACCAACAGGAGCAGACCCTGAGGACTAACCCTGAGTCCTCAGCCTGGCCCTCCCCTTGGGCTTGTAATTGTGTCTAGGACAAGCCCATTCCTTTAGTCCCTCAGTCATAATCTCCACCCCCTCCCGCCCCCCAGAACCTGCGCAAGCCCAATCCCCAATACCCCCATCTCCCTTGAAAGTTTGAGGTGGGAGGGCGGGGAGAGGGCAACCTACAGCTCCCAGGTGGGGGCGTGGGGGTGGGGGGGTGGGGGGGCGGGGAAGCGGCACCGGATGTACATGGGGAGGGGAAAAGGGAAGCGCAGGCTGGTGAAAGCCATGGGGCCCCTACCGGTCTCATGCTAAGCTGTCAGGAGAGAGTGAGCAGAGAGTTTACCTGGTGCATTGTCCGCCAGCCCAGCGCAAGGCTCCTTCAGAACTGGCAGCAAAGAGGCAACGGAGAGAAGGAGAGCCTGATGCCCAAGCCGGGCCCCTACCCGGAGCTGCCACGTCTATGGGGCTCACGGGGCACACACCCTCTGCACACACACCCTTACTGCTCTCTCCCGCGCTTTCACTTCCGTGAGCTCTGAGACTACCCTGGGCCCAGCCCTTACCTCTAATCGATTGTACCTTCATCTTAGGTCGTGGCACTTCCTATTGTGCCCCCCTGGTAGCTTCAGGTGTCTGGGTCTGCCTGCCCACCCCTCCTCCACCAGGCTCCAGACACTTGACCAGGGCCCCTACATGCTGACTCCCCACCCCAAGCGATTTCCTAAAGTTACAATCCTTTGATTTTGTTTTTTAATTGCAAAATCACAAACACACTGGGAAGTGGAGACTATCACATGCTAAGTTCTCTAGCCAGCCACCTGCTCTGTCCACCTCTCGGTAGCCTGTCTTATTCATTTCAAAAACTTTGAGGAACTAAATTTACAAATAAAATAGATGCTCCACCCTCTTGCCTCCTTCTCACTGCTTCTTATCTAACTCCTAATCAGCTTTTATGACTTCATTCAAGTGTCACTTCCTCCAGAATGTATTCTTTAGCCTACTGTACTTAAGTAGTTTTCTTTCTTTTTAAGATTTATTTATGCATACAAGGGGGGGATGCAGGCCAGAGATGCAGGGGGTGGGGGTGAGTGGATTTATCAGAGACAGAGTGAGGAGCAGAACAGGAAGATTGACTGAAATACACTGTTGAGGGGAGCAGCAGAGGTCTGCTGTGCCATGTAGGTTACCTCCCTGGCTGGGGATCGAACTCATGCAGTGGCTAAAGATAGCTTCATAGTGCTGCGTCCCAAGTCCTTGCGCCACCAGGGAGGCCCCATTTTCTTTCCTTTTTAAAACGTTATAGCACTATGTTTCTTACCCAGCTACTAACATTTGTCATACTTTGTCTTATGTTACAGGTCTGTTGAGCTCATTTTTCTCTCTAGCCTGGGAGCTCTGTGAAGGCATCCTGTCTGTGTCTCAGAGTTTGTCATAGTGCCTGGTACTACACAGCAGGTGCTGGACCAGTTCACTGAGCAGAACTTGGACCTGAAGAATCCCCCGTCCACACCTCTCCCCTTCCTTAGTCCTGGAGGTCTGTAAGTGACATGGGAGGGCCCTTCTGAGCCATAACAGCATTCACTGACTCATTCCCTGTCTCTTTCTGACTCTTTGTCCTCATGGAGCCTCTTAGATGGGCTCAAGGAAATAAAATGATCAAGAATCTGCTCCTATTTTGCAGTTTTCTGCCACTGCCACACTTACTTCGCTTCTCTACCAACTCCCTAGGGGAGGCAGAAGTGGTCCCGTTGGCCTGGCCGAAAGGCGATACAAGGTCAAGAACCTAACTCACACAAGGAGATAGGGGTAGAAGGGGTTACCATAATCCATTAACCCAGTTATAGAATCCAAGACCCTTAGGCATCAATGCCCAGATCAGGAGGTGCAACACCCAGAAACTATCAGACTGCTATAGGGGCACAAACCATCCACTCACAAAGATGAAGCCCTCTCTGAAGATGATAAAACCTAATGCAGCCCTCACAATGGGGTAGCACTCCGTCTGCCCAGCTGTTCCTATGCAGGTGCTTCCTTTCACCAAATCTCTCCCTCCGCAGAGCAGCAGCCTCCTGCCTGCCCGTGACCTGCACCATGCAGGGACTTCTCTTCACTGACCTCCCTCAGCGGAGGCAGCTCTCCTCAAGGCTACCCTCCTGCAACCATGCAGGCCTCTGTCAGCAAACCTGTCCCTTTTGGGGCAGCTCTTCCTGCCCACTTGTGTCTATGCAAGTGTCTTTTACTATTCCTATCCCTTTTCTAATAAACCTGCTCTTTAAATATCACTACTGTCTTTGTCTCATGGAGAAACTCGCCGGGGAAACTCGCCGTGTGCCGCTGAAACAGGAGCTCTGGTGAAACCTTTCCCAGAGTGAACCTAAGGACCCCACAATCAATATGATGCAGCAATCAAAACCACATCAATATGATGCAGCAATTCCACTCCTAGGGATCTACCCAAAGGACACAAACACTTTAATTCAAAAAGATACCTGCACCCCTATGTTTATTGCAGCAGTATTTATAATAGGCAAAACTTGGAAACAACCCAAATGCCCCCAAATAGATGACTAGATCAAGAAGGTGTGGTAAATATACACAATGGGAATATTATTCAGCAATCAAAAAAATAAACTAATGCCATTCGTGGCAACATGGATGGAGCTAGAAGGGATTATACTCAGTGAAATAAGTCAGAAGGAAAAAGAAACATATCAGATGGTTTCACCTATAGGAGGAATATAAGGGAACCAAATAAAGGATCAGGGAAAAAATAATCACAATAAAAAACACAACAAAACAAAACAAAATAAACAGACAATTATAAATCAGAGACATTCTACAGGGGAGAGAGGGAGAGGGATCAAAACGAGGGCCGGAAGAGCACATGGGACTATGGTGATGGTGTAAGGGTGAACTGGTGGTGGGAATTCTATGGGGGTACACCTGACAGAAGAAAGTAAACATTGAGAAAAAAAAAAGAACAATGATGTAAAATATATAAAAATAAATAAATAATTTTTTTTAATAAAATATAAGATTCAGGAAAAAAAATAGGGGGATGATTAATTAACCATAGAGTAGTAATTACATTGTTTAAAATGGCCACTGTGTGAAGACTGTGAGCTGGCAGAAAATACTTATGATTGAAGAACAAGGGGAACATTTCTTCTCCCTTTACTTTTGAAATAATTCAGAAGACACAGTCCTTAAGGTGAGGCAGAACAAAGTAGGCAATGTGCCCATGGGAGAGTCACAGTCACCCAGAATAGGTGTCAGGGCCCATGAGGAGTGAAGAGCACATCTGCATGGTGGGGGAAGAATCAGGGGCCAAGGTCAGAGTGAGTGGGGTTTGGGAGGTATTTGAGGTGGAGGGTGATGGCAGAGATGGGAATGATCATTTAAGGAAAACGTGAGTCAGACTTCAGAGAAGGGCCTTGGAGAAGCTGTTCTCGAGTAGCAGTACGCACACCTACCACCTGGATCTCATTTTCTAAATACCATTTGCCACTAACAGAAACTGGGGCTCCTGAGAGAGATAGCTGATTCCAGGGCTGAGGGAGATAAAGCATTAGCTGAACCTGAGAGATCCTGTTATGCCAGAAAGTACTCAAAGAATCTAGAGACATGTCAAAAGGACACAAAAGTCAGCTGGGGGGTTCCCTGGTGGTGCAAGGGGTGAAGTCTCAGCACTATGAAGTTATTGGCAGCCACTGTGGCAGGAGTTCCATCCCCTGCCAGGGAGGTGATCCATATGGCACAGCAGACCTCTCCTGACTTACCCATTGCTCCCCTCAGCAGTATATTTCAGTCGATCTGCCTGTTCTGTTCTCCATTCTGTCTCTGGTAAATTCTCTTACACACATACACACAGACACACACACCTTTAGCCTACACCCCAGTTCTTCTATGCAAAAAAAAAGAAATGATGTAAATGTTATATATTACAATTATTTATTATTTTGATGCCCAGATTGTCCCCTTTTGGTCACTGGGAGCCTTTTGTAAACCCAAATTATATAAAGCTAAGAAGTAGTTACCATTAATTTATATGAAAACTTTTGGTGTGTTCCCAGACCCCAAAACTATCATACCAAATAACATAAAACCTAAAATAACACTAACAGATAGTAAAACCAGGAATAATATGATAAATAAATAAAAGAGCCTGTATAGTTGCGTGGGAAGGAGTCTGGCAGGGCTACTCTTGCTGCTTAGGGTGTGTGTTGCCTCTAGACTGGCTTGCTGCAAAGGCAATGCTGAACCCATTTTTATTTTATTTTTCTTTTTAAAGATTTATTTATTTATACAAGCACTGGGTACAGTCAGAAGCACGGGAGGGTGAGAGAATTCACCAGAGCCAGAGCAGGGAACAGAACAGGCAGAGTGATGAAATACACTGCTGAGGGGAGCAGCGGGCGCAACAGGAGAGGTCGGCGCACCATGTGGGCCCCTCGTCGGTGGCCGGGGATCGAACCAGCGCTGCAGAGGCTGTGGGCGGCTTCGCAGCCCAGCGCTCAACCGCTGCGCCACCAGGGGAGGCCCTGAACCCCTTTTTTAAAAAACATTTATTTATTTATGCATACACGAGTTAGGGTGTAGGTCAGAGGATTCACCAGAGACAGAGTGGGGAGCAGAACAGGCAGATCTACTGAAATATACTGCTAAGGGGAGCAGCGGGCGAGACAGGAGAGTTCTGCTGTGCCATGTGGGTAGCTCCCTGGCCAGGGATAGAACTGGTGCTGCAGTGGCTGCAGGTAACTTCACAGTGCTTAACCCCTTTAGCCCCTTGCACCACCAGGGAGGCCTGAACCCCTTTTTTTTGTGGGACCCTCGCTGGTGGCCGGGGATCGAACTGGCGCTGCAGAGGCTGCAGGCAGCCTTGCAACCCAGCACTCAACCGCTGTGCCACCAGGGGAAGCCCGGCCTGAACCCTTTTTTAAATACCTGTGGTGATAAAAGTGAAAACCCTCTTGGGATTTCCTCTGGTTTATAAAAGCAGGTACTAATTATAGATGTTTCATAAAAAGGAAGTGGCATAATGTGAATTTTTGAAAAGTGAGGGTATACGTGTATCTCCCTGCAAAATACTTGTCAATTACAAAAGGGAAAAGAGTAACTTTAAATTGGACAAAGCTGGTATAGTTACTGAATTCTGGCTCCCCCAAAGGTTATGTCCAAAACTAATCCCCAGAACTTGAGAAGAGTTTTTGCTGATGTAACTAAGCTAAGGATCTTGAGATAAGGAGGTCATCCTGGATGACCTTATATGGGCACTAGATTCAATGTCAAGTGTCCTTCTAAGAGACATGGAGAAGAGGACAGAGAAAAGGCAATGTGAACAAGGAGGCAGAGATTGAAGCCAAGGAAAGCCAAATAGTCACCAAAAGTTAGAAGAGGCAAGGAACAGATTCATCCTAGAACCTTCTGAGGAAGTGTGGCCCTGCTGATACGTTGATTTTGACTTTTCGCCTCCAGAACTGTTAGAGAATAAATTTCTGTTGTTTTAAGGCACCAGTTTATGATATTGTGTTTATGACAATTTATTTGTTTTATGATAACTTGTTACAGAAGCCAAAGGAAACTAATACACTTGCAGAGTATCACACAAGCAGCACCACCTTACACAAGTGATCAAGGAACGGATGTTCAAATCAAATGGAACAAACCAAAATCATGCACCAGTTGACAGGATGGAAAGAGAGGGAAATCACATAGCTTCTGTGACACTCTTGCTAAAAATGCATGACCAAAGTCTAATCACAAGGGAAATAGCAGACAAATCCAATTGAGGGACATCTACAAAATAACTGGACTGTAACCTTCAAAAGTGTCATGAAAATCAAGAAAAGACTTGACTAGACTCCAGATTGAAGGAGACTAAAGAGACTTGGAATGAGTAACTCTAGACTGGACCCCTTCGTTATAAAGAACATTACTGGGACAACTGTCAAAATTTAAATGGTAACAGGACCTCCTTGGTGGCGCAGGCGGTTGAGCGTCGCACTGTGAAGCTGTCCGCAGCCCTCTGCAGAGCAGGTTCGATCCTGGCCGGCCAGCGAGAATCCCACAGGGCGCAGCAGACCTCTCCTGTCTCACCCACTGCTCCCCTCAGCAATGTATTTTGTCAGTCTGCCTGTTCTGTTCCCCGCTCTGTCTCTGGTGAATCCTCTCACCCTCCTGCGCATCTGGCCTGTACCCCGGTTCTTTCATAAGTAAATAAATTTTAAAAAATTTAAATGGTAACTGATTAGAACGTGTTAACATATCAATGTTAATTTCCTTATTTTGATAGCTGCCTTGTGCTTATGCAGGAGACTGGGCTTGTGTGTAGGAAATACACACTTAAGCATTTGAGAATGATGGGGCAATGAGGCATTTTGTTGGCAATTCAAATGGTTCAGAGAAAAAAGTTCTGTGTAATGTACTTCCAACTTTTCTGTACATTTGTCACTTCAAATAAAATATTTATTTTTTTTAAAAAAGGGAGAAAAAGATACAATCATATAAATGATTGCATATGCCTGTGCATATTTTCCAGACAGGAAGACATTCACTGGAAGGAAATTCATAATGATATTAATTCTACTGAAGAGGTGGGGTTATGTGTAACATTTTTCTGATCTTTAATATTTGAATTTAATTCCATAAATATCTGCTGAGGACTTACTATATGTTGGGCATGGTGGCAGGTCTCAGGGATACTGAAAAAAGTGAAAATGCTGGCCCAAGTCTGCAGAAAAAGAACTGTGGGAGTGGGGGCGGAGAGGGGGGAGTGGAGATTAAGGACAGGGTGCATTAAGCAAGGGGACCATCTGTCCCCAATGAGAGAGGAGCGCCAAGAGAAGGATGCTTGGAATAGGACCCGCCTGGTGATCCTCCTGTTTTTGTTAGGAATAACAAGGTTTGTGGGGCCTCCCTGGTGGCACAAGGGGTTAATTCTCAGCACTATGAAGCTATCAGCAGCCACTGCAGCACAAGTTTGATTCCCAGCCAGGGAGCTCACCCACATGGCGCAGCAGACCTCTCCTGACTCTCCCACTGCTCCCCTCAGCAGTACATTTCAGTCAATCCATTTGTTCTGTTCCCTGCTCTGTCTCTGGTGAATCCTCTCACCCCCCACACCTCTGGCCTGTACCCCAGTTCTTGTATGCATAAATAAATAAATCTTAAAAAAAAAAAAAAAACAAGACTTTGTAAAAACAAGTCCTTTGTAAGGACTCCCTGAAAGATGTTGGGTGTCCCATCTACATTGGGAGCTGCAGAGGGAGAGGAATGCGGAGAATTCAATCTAGAGCGCATGGGCATGGGCGGTTGGTGGGTGAGCAGGCTGGTCTGGAACAGCTTGGAAAGGATGGGAGTCAGACTCCAGGAATCCCTCAGGTCTTGCGTGGAAGGAGCTGATGGACTCCTCAGAGGGGCAGAGAGGGGTGTGGGGCCAGGTTGCTTTCACTGGTCTTTGTGCATAAGCCTTGAGGAGACATAGAGGCCCTGGCCCAGGCCACGTGGGGCCCCAGGCAGGGGGATGGGGGTACACAGTGTTACAACCATACATCCTCAGTCCTCATCTGGACTGTGGTCTGAGCAGGGCCCCTTGGAGCCAGTCCCAATCTGTTTCCTTCTATTCTTTGACAGGAAGCTCCTGGAGAGCCAACCCCCACCCCTCACCCCGCCCCAGCACTCCCTCTCTCTTCTCCACTATGGACAGAGCTTCCACCCAACTAGCAGCTGCCAGCCCACAACGACCCAGCTGACATGGGGATCTTCGGAGCGATGCAGCTGTGCTGGATGATCCTCTGCTTCCTCCTGCTCCAAGGTAAGAGGACTGGCCTCGCTCCTTCAGCATTCCTCTCCCACACTGGCTGCCTGGGTACTTGTCCCTCCTTCACATCACATACCAAACATGTTTTCCATGGGGGTTGTATCTAAGGGGAATTCCAGAGCCTTTTTCTGAAGATCAGTTCTATCAGGAGGTAGCCATTACCAGGCAGGGGTAAAATAGATAAATGGTTTAACTCTTTCATGGGGAAATTTCCACAAAGGCTGGTTTCCTAATGTGTGGGCTGTGACCGTCTCTGTGTGATTGAGACTGGAGACCAACTTCCAGGGTGTGCTCGGACCAGAGAAGGCCCTGGCTGGCCCAGCAAGCCCCTGGTCTGGCTGCAGCGCCACTGTTCACTGCTGTAGCACATTACTGTCTGTACCTTGCGCTTGAGAGATGATCTTTTTTTCCCTTCCATATGAGAAAAAACAACCTGGAAATGCCTGCCATTGACTTTAAACTCAAATCACAGCAAGAGGGACTCAGGTTAGCTACCAAGAACTTTTTTCATGCAGGGGGCTAGACGAGCTGACCTCCAGAGTAGAGGACTCGGAAACAACACCTCTCGCACCAGCACTGTTAGCCCATGTGTTATGGAGTAGGGGTGTTCTCACTAAGGATCAGTGCTGGGAACCATGAAAAATCCAGGACATTCTGACTCACAGGGCAGCAACTTCCCTTTGGTCATCCCTGCCCCACCCCCACCCCACCAGACAAGAGTCCCCTATGGAAGATTCACGAGCCTGTGTTCAAAGCAACAGAAGAAAGTGAATACAAGAGGGCTTGGACGGGAGGAATAATGAGTCTAACTTGGTGGTAGAAGAGAGGACCTTGTACCAGAACACTCAGCCTTCTGGAAGCATCAGACATTTCTCTAAAAGCCCATGGGCTGGAGTTCAAACCCTAATCACCTACATCCCCTGGCCCCCAACACCGGGTCCCAGGATAGTCACACAGATTGCTCTGAGGTTGGGGTACGATTCTGTTGTAGAAACTGCAGAGGTGGCAGAGAGGAAATTAAAAGGTGAGACTCGTGAGCTGAATTTTCACGGCTTCTGCTTATTCCAGCTTCCCTATTCATTGTCCTGTTCCAGGCAGGTGCAGGGCTGGGAGTGCCCTGGGTGAGCTCCACCTAAGCCACTCTCGCCCTCCCAAGCTCAGAGAGCAGCGGTCTAAGGAATCCTTTGGAGGATATTAAGACCCACAAGGGACTTGACTGTGGATAGGGATTCAGAGCAAACTTGGGACTTGGAGCATTTGAGAGAATGAGGCAAAAATAAAAAATGTCTTACTGAGCATGGATTATCTGCTAGGCACTGTGTTATAGCTTTATATGCAATTTCTTATCCTCACAACCACTTAGGAGGTACTAAAATCACTTGTATTTTAAAGAAGAGGGATCTGAGGCCCAAGTAAGACAGTAACAGAAACAGGACTTGAACTCAAGCCCGTCAGACTTCAAAATCCATGATTATAACTACTAAACTATGCTGCTAAGGAAAAACAGGGTAGTGGCTGGTAAAAGGGGAAGAGAGATAGGCCGGAAGGAACAAAGCAGGTAGGTTTTAGGGAAGGGAGGCCAGGAAAATAAGAAATCCTAATAGCCAGTGTTCTTTGGCTGTCTGCATGCTTAGGGGGCAGAGGCACCCTGGCCTATAGAAACAAAAGCTCCCTAAATCCCTTTTTCACTTACAGAAGAATCTACTGGCAACAAAAGTTCCAGTGGGGGGAGTGGGAAGGAAGCAAAGAGAGATCAGGCTACTGGGAGTTGGAGCTTGTGACTCAGGAACATCTAGTTTTATTTCTAGGTAATTGTGGAAGGCCGTACAGTGTGTCTCCTTCCCCCAACAACTAAAGTTAAAACTTTATAGAACTTAGAACTTAGGTATGCTTGATCAGTCACTAGTTCAAGTTTTCAGGAAGTGCCTCTAACTGCAAGGGCTTCCCAAGACCCACCTGGGAAGACCTCTCTCTCGCCTAGGAAACCTACAAGTTCTAAGTCCCCACCTTTTTTTTTTTTTAAAGATTTATTTATTTATTTATACAAGCACTGGGTACAGTCAGAAGCCAGTGGGGAGCCAGTGGGGAGAGCAGAACAGGCAGACTGATGAAGTACACTGCTAAGGGGAGCAGCGGGCCCGGCAGGAGAGGTCTGCGCGCCATGTGGGACCCTCGCCTGGTGGCCGGGGATAGAACCAGCGGCTTTCACAACCCAGCACCCAACCGCTGTGCCACCAGGGAGGCCCTCTAAGTCCCTTTTTAATCAACCCCCGCCACTACTCCCTCTGCCACCCAATGAGGGAATGAGGCTTTCAGAGATGGTGACCTGGAAAAACCTGGTTCAAGGTTTGGCCAAGCTTGGGCTTGAAAACAATTAATTTCACAGAATTCAAGTGATAGCCAAATGGAGGAAGGCAGTGGCTAAGGAAAATAAACAGGCCAGCAGGCTGCCCTGGGCTGGGCGGGGCGCCGGCCCCCAGCTTTCTGTTCATCCAGATCCAGGCTGGGTACCTTCCTGATGATGAGGGGCCCGAAGAGCAGGAGGGCCAGAGGCTTCAGGCCCAGCCCCAGAGGAGAGACGGGACGGGAACCCAGCTGGGCGGCTCCACTTCCCCAGTTGTTTTCCTTTCGTATTGTTCACAGGTTTCAAGAATGATTTCATTGTGGAAAATGAGCAAACACAACCTGACCTTTCAGGTCCCACACATACAGCGCGGCCCATATAACTCGTGCACACACGCACACATCTGCAAAGAGGCCCACAGCACATGCGAGAAAGCTCGCGGGCTTCTGACTGGAGCCTTCTCTCTGGGTTTGGTCAACAAGGACCATTTCTGAAGAAGCCTTTGTGAGAATAAACTGGCTGCCCATTCTGTAGCTTCCAGTATTTACCTCTGAACTTGCTTCCTGTGTGCGTCCCTACCTCCAGCATAAAGAGGGCCGAGAGATGGCCCAAGACACCACCCCAATCCCTAGCCCTGTCTCATTCACCACACCTTCCATGTCCTGCCCTCAGGGCAGGACCAAGATGACAATATTCACAGGGAGAAGTGGTAAAGGTTGCTCTCTGTCCATGGTTACATTGCTAGTTTGAAATAACCTTCCCCTGACCTCGTGTCAGGCTGGTATAAAACCCATGTGGTATTGGAGACAGGAAAGGACTCCAGAACCCTGAGCCACAAGGTAGTGGCGATGGGGCCACTGTGTCGTGGTACCAGAGGAAGTCAGCACCATCAGCTGCAGCCACATCCTTTAGTCCTCTGCCAGTTGTGTGTACCTCCCAGCATGCAGGTTTGCAAAGTCAAAAGGCCCGGGCAGGAGACGCCAACAGGCTCTGCACTGGGCAGGAGATTCACGGAGTCTGTATGTTTTTGCTTTCTCTTACAGGCTACAACTCCCAGCCCACAACAGCACAGCCATCTGGCCCTCAGGGTAAGACCAAGCACAGAGGACTGATTCCAGCATGTAGGCCTCAGAGTTTAGGGAGGGTGGAAGGACCTCTGATCTCAGATTAGGGATGGGGTCAGAGCCCTCAGCCATCTGAGGCTGAGATCCTCTAGGAACTTTTTTCAACTTAGCCCACTCTAACATACCTTGAAAGAGTAGAAAGGTGAGTGATTAAGGGTGGGGGGTGGGGTAAGGAGAAACACTAGAAGAAGAGAGGAGGAGAGGGAGATTGAGCAATCGGAGGCGGCAAGCCTTTAGGCTCACATGGTTTGTTTCAGGAACCTTCAGCAGTCTCAGTCTGACCACAGAGCCAACTTCTCCCAACACAGGTGAGCGAGTGTGGCTGTTGAGGGGCCCATCTCCACCTCTCCCCCACCCCATGCCCAAGGGTCCTCAGTTGGGCGAGGGAATGTGGTGTCACCAAACCTGCCCCATCTCCAACTCCATCTGCCTCTGTCCTTGCAGGAAATAGTCTTTCCTCAGAGCCCATCTATTCAAGCCCTCCGTGCAGCACCAGTACCCCAGGTACTCTGCCACTCAGACTCTGCGTGCCTTCTGGGGAGGGCCCAGTGAGGAGGCAGGCAGCATCTGCTCTGAGGGACAGTATAGACTAGTGACAGTACAGTGAGTGACCGCTGAGCTGAGACCCTAGGAGTTAATCAGCTGAAGACTGTGGGTGGAGGGGGGCAGAGCATGTTCCAGGCAGAGGGAACCGCACAGGTAAAGTCTCAGAGGTGAAAGAGGATGGCTCCTTCTGGAATTGAAAACCGTAAAGAAAAGGAGGATTTCCTCCCTGTGTACATGAGGGCTGAGGGCCTAATCTGGCCACATATGCTTCTTAATCCACAGCAGCGCCAGAGGCCTCACGGACCCCTGTGCTAGCCAGTGAATCCACGACGTCAAGGTCAAGCACCATGGATAGCCACGCCTCATCCCTGCTAGACCTGACTCAGCCTGAGCCACAGAAGCACACGTCAGGACTTGGTGAGACCCTGGGATTGGGGGGCGAGAAACACTGGGCCCTATCTGGGGGATGAGGGGTACCTATCTTCCCATCTCCAGTAGGCCCAGGTTCTGCCCAACAACGAGGGGTCTCAAGGCCAGGATCCAAATCAACAGCACCCTGGTTTGGGAGATGATGTGAGGAGTTTGATGGGGAATAGAGACAGCAACTTGGCCTGGCCATAATGAAGGTGAAGGGAGCCTGGATTTGGGACTACTGAAGGCACAGAGTAGGAAAGGGAGGAGTTGGAGAACTCAAATGATGTGTGGGGCCAGGAAAGGTCGGGAAGGGGCTATACACTTCTCAGGGCATGCTGGCTTCATCCGCCAGCTGGGCGGGGTGACATCCTCCATCTCGGTCATGCTGTTTCGTGATGCAGGCACAGGTGTCCCAAGCAGCAACAGCAGCAGTGGCAGCACAAGTGAAGGTACGTCATGTCTGAGCTCATAGCAAAGGGCACCCCGCCTGGCCCTTTATCTCATCCTAACCCTTGACTTTGGGATTTTTGGACACTCCCAGACTTTTTTTTGGGGGGGGGGAGGGGCGGGGTGAAGATAAGGAAATGGAATAGTAATCAGGTCTGGTTAAGTTGAAAGCAGGGAGAGACAGGTGACCAGACCACTTTTTGAAAGGGCCCCCCACTAGCAGTCTAGCTCCTTACATCAGTGCCTGGACACAAACAATTGTGCCCTCTTCCCTCCCATTTCCATGCGTAGCAAAACACAAATAGCTTTACCTGGCCCACTCTGGCTCCCTTGCTCTGCAGCGTGAACCCCTTTCCTCTGGACCCCTAGCAGGTAGTGGAAAGAATATAATGAGCGGGGGCCTCCCTAGTGGTACAAGGAGTTAAGCACCGCACTATGAAGCAATCCACAGCCTCTGCAGCATGAGTTCCATCCCCAGCCAGGGAGCAACCCAATTGGCGCAGCAGACCTCTCCTGACTCGCCTGTGGCCCCCCCTCAGCAGTGTATTTCAGTAGATCCACCTGTTCTGCTCCCCACTCTGTCTCTGGGGGATCCTCTCACACCTACCCCCCATCTCTGGTCTGTGCCCCAGCTCTTGTATGCATAAATAAATCTTTAAAAAAAAAAGATTATAACGAGGGAAGCATTTTTAACCTTCCGGAGGCCTCTGGAACTGGTAACAAGAACAACCAGCAGTGCTATTCGTGTGACCCCACTTCACCACAGGGCTGATCTCCTTTCTCCTGGGATCTGGTCAGAGTGGCAGGGAGGAGTCTTTTTAGTAGGGTGCGAGCTCTCTTTGCAGTCGGTTACTTAGGGGAAGCAGGAGGGGAGCTAGCTCTCTCTCTGATAGGTCAAGTCAGTCCCTTCATGTTGCACCCATTCCCCCTCCATTTTAGACACCTCTCAAAATGTTACTCCCAAATCAGCGACCATGAGCCTGAGGACAAGAGAAGACTTGACCATCCTGCCCAGTCCCACGTCAGAGACAGTGCTCACTGTGGCTGCGTTTGGTGAGAGGGAGAAAAGGTGGGGTGTGGGAGGGGATGCCACCCTGAACTGACTTGGACTCTGGGCCTGCAAACACAAGCTCAAATCTCGCCCATTTGTCCCTGCTGGTGAAGAAGGCTCTGGTGAGCAGGCCCTTCAGCCAGCTCTCTCTGGCTTTCCGAGTTCCGAAGTCTAATGGGATAGGGCCATGGAGCCCACTGTGGCCAGGGGCACCAGGCTGAGAGCGTAGTTGTTTAGCGGAGAAGGGAAATTGCCAGAGCCTGTCTACACAGTACTTAGCCAGGAAGAGAATTTGGACTCCTGTTTCCCCCTTCGCCTCCTCCTCTGCCTGCCCTTCACCCCATCCTTTTCCCTCTTCAGGTGTTATCAGCTTCATTGTTATCCTGGTGGTCGTGGTGATCGTCCTAGTCAGTGTGGTCAGTCTAAGGTTTAAGTGTCGGAAGAACAAAGAGTCTGAAGGTACAGGCCCTGACCCTCAGGGCTGCCTTTGCCCTCCTTTCTGGGGAACCCAGAGCTAGATTCTGGGACTGACATTCAACTGAAGTTGAAGGAAGAAACAGCACCTAATCACCACTGGACGAACTGGGAGGGTCCACTTGGGTGAACTTTGAGGGGCAGGCTGGGCTTCTGAGTTACCCCATGTGACTCCCCACTGTGCCTTTGGATTTCTACAGATCCCCAGAAACCAGGAAGTTCCGGGATATCTGAAAGGTAAGACTGTCGGGGGTGTGAGGGAGAAATTGTCTATGTGACCTCCATTCCCCTACTCCAGGAGGGAAACAATACTCTCTCTCTCTCTCTCTCTCTCTCTCTCTCTCTCTCACACACACACACACACACACACACACACACTTTCTCTCTCTCTTGAAATCCTGACAGCCTCCACTGGGGCCAGGGCGGGGGGTGGGCAGGATGGGGGTAGACATAAAAGGAAACAATCAGGTGGTGACAGGAGATGAACTACAACTCTCAGCTGGGAACTAAGACTTCATAACACAACCCCATCATCAAAAGTATAGGAACTCACAATCTGACTCAGCGCTTGAATTAGACATTCCCTCTAAGCTTGGGAAACATTTATTGAATCCCAACTTTGTACCAAGCACTATGGTAGACATTTTGTAATTTTACCTCAAATCCTTACAGTAATTCTTCAAGGTGGATATTACTGCATTTTATACATTAAAAAAATGAGTCCAAGAGAGGATGTATTGATACTTTGGTCAAGATCACACAGGGACTAGGTAGTAAAACTAAGACTTAAATACAAGTCTTTTTGGCTTCCAAGCACGCTTTTATTTCATTATGTCCAAATAAACTCAAATGTAGGTTTATCAAAACAAAGATCTATATTTCAAAACTTCCCCGCTCTCTTCTGTCACTCATGTCCCCTTCTAGCTGCTCCACAGCCAATGGAGAGAAAGACAGCATCACCCTCATCTCCATGAAGAATATTAACATGAATAACAGCAAAGGATGCTCTTCAGCAGAGAAGGTACAATTTTCCTGGCTCCTTTCTCCTTTCTTACTCTCCTCCTATCCCCACGCTCTAGTTTCTTTTTTTTTTCCCCTAAGATTTATATTTATTTATGCATACAAGAGCTGGGGTTTAGGTCAGAGGTGTGGGGTTGAGAGGATTCACCAGAGACAGAGTGGGGAACAGAACAGGCAGATTGACCGAAGTACACTGCTGAGGGGAGCAACGGGCGAGACAGGAGAGGTCTACTGCGCCATGTGGGCAACTGCTCCCTGGCCAGCTGCGAATTAAACTCCTGTTGGAGAGGCTGCAGACAGCTTCACAGGTTGCGTCTTAACCCCTTGTGCCACCAGGGAGGCCCACATGCTCTAGTTTCTTAGCCAAAAAGGAAATGCTTTCAAAGACCCAGCCAGACTCTGTTCTCCTCTTCCCTGCCACTCCCAGGAAGTTGATCCTCCCTCATTATGTTTTTATTTCGCAGGTTCTTTAGAAGCAACTTTGGGTCCCCATGAAGCCAAGAGCGATGCAGTTGACCAGGGACTAAAAGGAGAACAGCAATGGGATCAGCACGGCATTGTAAATTATTTAATTGAGTCACATCTACTCCGAGGTCTAGAGGATACTGGCATTCTTCCAGATTGGGAGCAACCTAGCAATATGAGGGACTCCCAGGTGAAATACAGCCTGCTCCTCCCACCTCCTCAAAGTCACAGGAAGGAGGTACAGAACAAGAGCAAGGAAACAAGAGCGTACAGAACAAGAGCAAGGAAAACGACAAAGTGGACTACTTTGCATTAAAATTATTTTCTGGCCTGCTGTCTACTTTCTTTTAAGTTCTACGCCTCCATGTGCTTTTCTTAGCTACTTTGGAAACTTCTTTCTTTTTTTTTCCCAAAGATTTATTTATGCATACAAGAACTGGGGTACAGACCAGAGGTGTGGGGTGGGGGGTAAGAGGACCCACCAGAGACAGAGCAGGGAACAGAACAGGCAGATTGACTGAAATACACTGCTGAGGGGAGCAGTGGGTGAGTCAGGAGAGGTCTGCCGCGCCATGTGGGTAGTTCCCTGGCCAGCCAGGGTATGGAACTGGTGCTGCAGAGGCTGCGGATAGCTTCACAGTGCTGTGCTCCCCTTGTGCTACCAGGGAGGCCCGGAACCTTCTTCCTTAGGCAAGGCATATATGCAACTTTCTACTTCCATGGGGAGCTCTCTGAGAAACCTGGGAGGTGGGGGAGACATTTTGTTGGGCGGGCCTTGGGTCACCTGATTTATTAAGTAGGACCGAGGTGACTAAGCACCGCAACAGAGTGGGGCAAAAAGGACCTGTCAACAGTGACTGATGATCACTGCTAAAAAAGTTTGAAGTTTGGAGATGAAGAACATGGAACAACAGTTTCTGGCGAGGAAATGCCAGTTGTGAGTGCTGAATAATATGAGGGCTGAATAATATGAGGGCAAGTCTGCCTGCTCCAGGCAGACCCACACTCTTTGTTCCTGGCCATGGGAGTATCACTGGGAAGGTTTGGAGCAAGCACGGGTCTATGATTTCACAATCAAAAACCCACCCACTTGACCCCACGAAGTTATTTCTGTGCTAGAACAGAAAAAAAGGAACTAGGTACTTTGGAACATTTTTAAAACCTACTATAAAGTCACTTAAAGGGGAGGAAGAAAAGAAAGAAGTTACCTGTATTTTTAGTAATCGGCATCTCTGTTATGACTGGTTTGGAAATGTATCCTGGCTGGCAGGAGTCATCTGTGTATGTCTGTATAGGGTGTTCAATTCCATAAGCTTAAATTTAATAAATTAATAAATTTGAATTTATAAATCTGTTAATTTGCTGTTTAGAACACAGTTTACCCATTCTGAAGCAACAACATGCTCTTTTCTTCTGATTTAGACTTTACAAAGTGGTATGAGAGGAAAAGCTTAGAACAGAAAGTTCACTTTCTCTGTCTCATTGAAAAATATTCAAATGTGCTGAAGAAACCCACTGACTCCTAAAAACAGCCAGGGCATGGCCTGTAACATGCTGAGGTCTGTTCTACTTGCATCCAACATCTTCATCACGACAACTGGCTCTCAGGTGCAGGAAATCTGGTCACAAGACTACAAGACTGGGCTCTGTCACAGACTTACTGCTTGACTTTTGGCAAAAATCATGCCCCATCTCAGATCCTGTTTTCTTACTTTTATTTATTTGTTTTTTTTTAAGATTTATTTATTATTTATGCATACAAGAGCTGGGGTATAGGCCAGAGGTGCGGGGGGCGGGGGAGAGAGATGATTCACTAGAGACAGAGTGGGGGACAGAACAGGCAGACTGACTGAAATACACTGCTGAGGGGAGCAGCGGGCGAGACTGGAGAGGTCTGCCTCACCATGTGGGTTGCTCCCTGGTCTGCCTGGGATTGAACTTGTGCTGCAGAGGCTACAGATTGCTTCATAGTGCGGTGCTTAACCCCTTGTGCCACCAGGGAGGCCCTGTTTTCGAACTTTAAAAGTGAAGTGGCTGGACTACTTGGCCTTCATTATCTTTTCTAGTTCTTAAATTCTATAAGTCTATATTCTAGATGTATGAAAAAATGAACAATGAATTTTTGAGTATAAATAACTCTGGTTGGGAGCAAGAGACAATTCTAAGGTAACGTTGAGCAAGTCTTTTACATTCTCCAGAGTTACATTTCCCAGTGTATCAATATGTTGAGGGGCTAATGATCCCTACCTGACCTGTCTACTTCACACACTATATGGTAGGTAAAATGGAATAATACTTGGGAAGTAAAATGATTAGTTGGTAATCGTAGCAGGCAACATGGACTACCACGGATCCATGAAGTGCCCCCACTGCAGGATCAAGGCATTTGCTCCTACAGCTAAGAGTCTTGACTGCTGAGGGCTCCTAACTGGTTGATGGGATGGAGGTGGGGAAGGAGACCCATACCTTTTTTTTTTTTTTAATAGAGGCATGTTAATTTATTTATTTGTTTGTTTGTTTGTTTTGTTTATACATGCACTGGGTACAGTCAGAAGCACGGGAGGGTGAGAGAATTCACCAGAGCCAGAGCGGGGAGCAGAGCAGGCAGAAGGACCGAAGTACACTGCTGAGGGGAGCAGCGGGCGGCAGGAGAGGTCTGCGCGCCATGTGGGACCCTCCTCAGGTGGCCGGGGAGCAGCCGGGGATCGAACCGGCGCCACAGAGGCTGCGGGCAGCTTCGCAACCCAGCGCTCAACCGCTGCGCCACCGGGGAGGCCCCCCCCTTTTTTTAAATTTTATATATTTTTTACACAGTTCTTCAATTTTGTACAATGTGTGCTTTCTCATCTCGGTTATAGTCCCCATGAAATTCCCACCACCAATTCACCTGTCTACCACCACCATTGTCCCTTGTGCCTTCCCACCCGTTTTGATCCTCCTCCCTTTTACCCTCCTGCAGAATGTCTCAGAAGACCCACACCTTTGGCCTCTGTTTCTTCCTCTGTCCAGTCCTGCTTCCTATATTCCTCACAGCTGTTGTTCCCAGGAGCACTCACCAATAAACCTTCTGCAAGCAAATCTCAGCGTCTATTTCCTCAAGTACCCAACATGTAACAGCATTTTTTAGTATTTTTTAAAAGAATTCAGATATACTTTATTTATTTTTTAAAAAAGATTTACTTTATTTATGCATATAAGAGCTAAGGGTAGGCCAGAGGTGGAGGGGGTGAGAAGATTCATCAGAGACAGAGTGGGCAGCAGAACAGGCAGATTGGCTGAAATACACTGCTGGGGGAGCAGTGGGCGAGACAGGAGAGGTCTGCTGTGCCATGTGGGTCAGCTCCCTGGCTTAGACTTAACCCCTTGCACCACCAGGGAGGCCCAGATGTACTTGATTTAAACCACACAAAATGCACATGACTTACTAGCCAGTTCCAGCACAGAAATCCATTGTTGGAACAGAACTTTCCAGATGACATAACAATGTCTAGAAGTATACTGGATTCTGTGTGAATTGTTATTGTTATTCTGACTGCCAGTGGCACTTGATTCAGATGCTTATTGTGCTGGACTAACCATGTCAAAGACATGGGTTTCACTCTAGTTAACTCAGTTGTTGCCTCCATTATAAGGCCACAAGCTTCCCCCTGACTCTGGACAATATCCCGAAAATATGAGCTGTTAGTCATAAGGTATTTATGTGTGGGGGAGAGGGGTGAATGGATATTAGTATGAGATTGAAAGGTTTTTACCTGGAATCTGACACTGTGGTACCACATTAGCCCTGTAGATTTTCTGTCACTAAGTAACTACCCTTTAGGAAGGGGTTGAGGATGAATGTACTTAACGCTGAATTCTGTTCTCTAGCAAACCATACTGGAGGGGGTTCTGCTGAAGGATCCTGCTATTTATGCAAATACAAGTCCCCATCCCTGCCAGGAAATCCAAGGGTTGCCTTCTGCAGCCTCTACAGCTTCCCTGAGACCCTATCTCTTCCTTGATGTATAGGCAACAGGATGGCGGCCATTTACAAGACAGCTTCCTCCCTATTCTAACACAGGACTTCATGGCCCCCAAGCAGGAACAGGTGGTAGGGGTGGGGTGGTCTGTGTAAAGTGTCCTTCTCTTGTTTCTTCCCTCATTCTATGGGAGGACAGCCAACCACCAGTTCAGGCATATAGGTCCAGTTGGACAGGGGACTCATTTCCTCAGTATCTTTCTTCTAGGACTGGATGGGGCAGCAGATGACAACCAGCAAAAGTTCACCACAGTCCAGCAAGTATTTCTAAAAGTAAGTAAAGAAAGCCGATAGAATTCTGAGGTTGGTTCTAGATAAAATGTTCTGGCAGGCGAAGGATCACTGCAGTCCCCTTGGCTAGTTCTTGCACACAATTACCCAAAGCCAGACAATACTCAATTCTATTTGAATCTGCTAGAAGACATGATGTGGCTCTTCTCACCAATCTCTTATGGGACTTGTGGATCTCCCTATTTCTCCACTTGCTGGTTATTTCTCCCTGGCACCTCCATCTTGAAGTCTTTGAGCCTACAGCCTCCTCTCTTACCAAATACAGAAAGTGATTTTGACAGTGGGAATAATTTTTTTTGAATGGTTGCTGTGCTTAAACAAAAACTGACCCAGAAGTGTTCCAAATGTTGAGGCTTGGAGTTTTAAGTTATTTCTGGAGGTACAATCTATAAAAAATCATCCAAAAATATTGGCCTCCCTGATGGCATATGGGTACAGTCTCAGCGCAATCACCTCTAAGGCCTGAGTTCCATCCCTGGCCAGGGAGCTGGCCCACATGTGTCACAGCAGACCTCTCCTGTCTTGCCAGCTGCTGCCCTTGGCAGTGTATTTCAGTAGATCTGCCTGTTCTGCTCCCCACTGTCTTTGGTGGGTCCTCTTACCCCTGCACCTTGGCCTACACTCCAGTCTTCCACGCAAAAAATATGTATTTTTTTAAAAATCATCCAAAAGTGGTGCAAGGGGTTGAGATGCAACCTATGAAGCTATCTGCAGCCACTGCAGTATGAGTTCAGTCCCCGGCCAGGGAGCTACCCACATGGCGCAGCAGACCTCTCCTGACTCGCCTGCTGTTCCCCTCAGCAGTGTATTTCAGTTAATCCTCCTGTCCTGATCCTGCTGCACCTCCCCCTGCAGTGACCTTTAGGGCTAATGGCTTTCGCCAAGGTCCCTAGGTCCGGCTGGGCAAGGAACCAGCGCGCAGGGGGAGAACAGCAAAAACTCCCTGAGGCAGGGGAGTACATCAAAGTTCCCTGAAGACATGGATAAGACAGAAGCCTATCAAAGGATTACGACCACCAGGAGCTAAAACCTTATCTCGTCTTTCTAGAACTACAAACTTTATCCCTTCATTGTCTTTCTAAAACTTCCTTCTTTCTTCTATAAAGGTCATTTGTTGTTAATTAAAAAATCATATGAAATCCTTAACACAAGGCTGACTCAAATGAAACGTTACTAAACCCTGTAATAATTAAAATATAGTCTAAGTGAAAAAGTAGCTAGTAAAACAAAAAATGCAATCATATAGCTTAAAAACAAAACTAATGGGGCCTCCCCGGTGGCGCAGCGGTTGAGTGCTGGGTTGCGAAGCTGCCCGCAGCCTCGGTAGCGCTGGTTCGATCCCCGGCTGCTCCCCGGCCACCAGAGGAGGGTTCCACATGGCGCGCAGACCTCTCCTGCCGCCCGCTGCTCCCCTCAGCAGTGTCCTTCGGTCCTTCTGCCTGCTCTGCTCCCCGCTCTGGCTCTGGTGAATCCTTTCACCCTCCCGCGCTTCTGACTATACCCAGAGCTTGTATAAATCAATCAATCAATCACTCAATCTTGTATAAATAAATAAATGAATAAATAATCTTTAAAAAAAAAAAAAAAAAAAAAAAAAACAAAAACTAATGGATTATCTACTTAAGAAAAAGGCTAGCCTCCCCGGTGGCGCAGCGGTTGAGCGCTGGGTTGCGAAGCTGCCTGCAGCCTCTGCAGAGCAGGTTCGATCCCCGGCTGCTCCCCGGCCACCAGAGGAGGGTCCCACATGGCGCGCAGACCTCTCCTGCCGCCCGCTGCTCCCCTCAGCAGTGTACTTCGGTCCTTCTGCCTGCTCTGCTCCCCGCTCTGGCTCTGGTGAATTCTCTCACCCTCCCGTGCTTCTGACTGTACCCAGTGCATGTATAAACAAAACAAAAACAAACAAACAAATAAATAAATAAAATAAAACATGCCTCTATTAAAAAAAATTAAAAAAAAAAAAAAAAAAAAAAGAAAAGGCTAGGTCCAGATGTAAACCACTCAACGATAAGCTAAATCCATTCACTGCTCCTGTATATATACTGGCGACTAACTCAAATAAAATCGCACTCAGATTTACACTCTCTCTTGAAGTGTGTCTGTTTGTCATTTCTTCAGCCGAATCCCTGACCACCCTGTGCAGTCTCTCAACCCTGAGACAGCCTCATCGCTCACTGCTGTGCTGGTCCGCGGCATGATCCCTACTCTGTCTCTGATGAATCCTCTCACTGCCTCCAACCTCTGGCCTGTACCCCAGTTTTTATATGCATAAATAAATCTTTTTAAAAAAATAAAAATAAATAAAATCATCCAAAAGTGTTGAATGAAGTATAAATGAGCTGAAGGGTACATATTTGCAATACATATAAAAAAGGTTGCAAAGTTGAAGCAGTTTTTACTCATCTAGGAGTAAATGAATAATCTAGAAAAGAAGACACAAGGTTTCAGAGGATGATGGGAAAGGGTGACAAGGCACCAGATATCTCCAAGAGGCCCCAACTCCCCAAATCTTGCTCAGCATACTTGTCTAATTCTATGTTGCTCCTTAATCCATAATACGCTTTCAATGACCTCCTACAGTGCTTTAGCATGCCACTCCCAGATACCTCTAATTGCATGGTATTCCAACACATGAGTACTTCCAGACCCTAGCCCTGTGCTCCTGGACTCCAAGGTACACCCTTCCTCCCAATTACAACTTTCCTGCTCTTCTAGAGCAATTTGTCTAGCCTTCCCAAATTGAATAAATGCCCTCCTTATAGTCAACTACCAGATATATGTCCCGATCAGGTCCCTTGTCTGCAGAGTGCAAGTGGCTTCTTCAGGACCCAACCTCTGTGAGCACATGGATGCTCACATATCCTGGGCTGAAACTGCAAGAAAGAGCAGGAACTTCATACATTGGAGGCTTGTGCCCTTTAGGATTCTTTTCTAGGACTTTACATCTCACCCCACACCACCCACTTAAGTAGTTGATGGTTAGTAATGTAATTAACATAATTGTTTTGGTTTTCCTGGGTAAGAGCTCAGTGTATTCCGGGTAATTTTGTTTGGAAATAAACATGATCATTTTTTCCCCTTTTCAGAAGGCACCTTTGGCAGTTCTAACCAACTTAAAGGCATGAGGCAGTACATGATACCCATCCACCTATGAAAAGTCTATAGGTGCCCAGTTCTTTGCTTTTATTCTTTGCTAAGCTTCATGCAAACATAAGTGTGGAAGGCGGTAATATTTTTTTATTTCCTTTTTACTCATCTAGAGGACGGTCCTTCAGAAAAGAAGGGAACAGGTCAAGGAAATGACTGGGGTGGAAGAGAGCGAAATGTAGGATAGGATGGATGAAAGGTAAGGAAAACAAAGAGGGATAAGGAAAAGCAAAGACAGGTGCTTTAAATACTGACTCTAATGCCTTCCCTTTTCTTTTTTCTCTACCCCTGACCACAAAAGCGTCTCTAATGACGCTGTACCAGAGGAGCAGGGAAAGGAGGGGGATATCCAGGCTGCCTTTTAACTATTAATACATAAATGTACCTCACGTTTGTATTTTCTTAGCTCTTAAGTTCCCAAGTTTGGGTTCAGCATCACCAAACGCATCTCTGAATCTCCAGGATCTAGCTCACAGTGCACAGAACGGGCAATAGCTGTATTTAAATGGGCATCCAAATAGAAAAATTGGCATACTGTCACCCTCGAGGCCAGAGTATGCAAAGCCTTTCCCAGGCAGCATCTCATGAGGCCTCCTTGAATATCTCCGGTGGTAGGTGGCGTCAAAGGCATTATGCCCAGTGCAGATGAGGAAAAGCGCGGCTCGCAGTAGCCGCGGCTTCCCGCTGAGAGCCACGAGCCCCGCAGCAGTCTGGACGCCGACGCTCCGTCCACAGGCCTGCTCTCGGGGGTCGAGTCCCTTCTTACCGCGGCATCATCGGCGTCCCCTCGCGCGGAGCCTGCCGGGAGTTGTAGTCCACTGCACCCCCGTTTTTATGGGTTGGACTACAATGACCAGCATGCCCCAGGCTTCTTGCCCCCTTCCCTTTCAGTCTCCGGCGCGGGGGAGGCTCAGCCGACCTACTAACTGGGAACCGATATGGCAGCGACCCTGGGCAGCGGGGAGCGCTGGACCGAAGGTACCAGATCCTGATAGAGGGTGGGACAGGGCGGGAGGCGGGAGAGGTCAGGTATGGGGCTCTTGGAGGCGCCTAAGGGCTGAGAAGCCGGGCGTGAGATGAGGGATGGAGGCCTTTGAGAAGATGCTGAGCCTCAGTAAGGCTCCGGATGACGTGGGGGGCCTCCCAGACTGGGGCCCATGATCAGGAAAATGGGATCGCTGGCTCAAGCTGAGGCGGAGCCCAGAGTGTACCCCGACAACTTGTGGCCTGAGGCCTCCCGCCCCGCCCCAGCCCATGCCCCGCCCGCACCTGGCTAGGAGGTGGGTCAGCGGGTGGTGCGTCTCCTGCAACTTGCTTATCCAGACCTTACTCTTTGACAGCCAAACTGCGCCTCCTGGCCCTCGGATTCTGGTCTTATACTTGCAGCCCTTTCTCTAGACTGCTAGGCCGGCCTGTTTCATCCTAATCAGGCAGACTATCCAATACTATTATGTATCCCGGCTTTATGCTGATCTCGCAGCAGGGATTTGACAGAGCTCTCTGTCCACTGAGGGAGTTTGACAGGTAAACAGCCAATTACAAGACAATAAGTCCTAGGCTATTTAGCAAGGTCGTAGGTTTGGGGATCACACTGACAAGACCTAACAGCCTGGGTGTCAGAGGAGGCCTCATGGAGAAAGTATTACATAGGATGACATGAAGGATGCGTTGGAGTTAGGTGGACTTAGAGGGAAGAATGTCGCAGGCAGAGGCATGTGCAAAGGCACAGAGAAAAGAGAAAGTATTGCTGATCTGAAAGTAGCTGGTGTGGTTAGAGTATAGACTACAAAGGAGCCTGTATTGAGAGATGAGATGGAGAAGCAGACTGGGTCTATCAGAATTTTGGAAAAGGAGTAGGGATGTAAACAGAAGAAAGGTGTTTTTTAAAGCCTTCCCTAGATCTTCCAGGCAAGACCTGAGTACCTTTGCCTTCACTGACTGGATTGCTATTAATCGAATTCTCTCCCTTTAAACTATACTCTTTGTGCTTAGTAAGACCCCTTGCACTACTCTCACCAAGTGTCTGATCCACATTAGTTCTATGACTTTCAGTTTAAAACAACTGAACTCATCTCTACTTTTAATTTTAGTGGTGGGAGGCACTGCAATGAAAAATATTTCATAAGCAGTGCCATTTCTGACCATGGACCACAGGAAAATAGGTATCCCAGAATGTTTCGTATCAAGTCTGTGCAAAATATATTATTAAATTATGTTGACTCATCAAAGAGAAAAAAAAGAAAAAGGCATGCCCTGTGCTGCATTAAAAACAAGGCATTGGGCAGAGCCCTTTAACCTTTTTTTTCTGACTTTAAGTCAAGATTTGCTGACTGATTATTGTAGGTTTGGTGAACATTATTATGCTTCATGTTTCTGACTTTATAAATTTTCATGGTTGCCACCATATTTTCTATATGGTGTTCTCAAGAAAGAGGTTTGCTCAGCTTTATATGGATGCTTAGCATTCCAGATAGCTAAGTTAGGTAGCAAAGTTGACTTGCAAGTCAGACTGAGGCCTAATGGAAGGGCTATTACTTTGTAGCTTACATTGATGCAATTAGAAGAAATAAATATCCAGAAGACAGACCTCCTGAAAGTCATGACCCCTGTAGTTGCTGTAACTGCATGAAGGCACAAAAGGAAAAGAAGTCTGAGAATGAGTGGAACCAGACCCGGCAAGGTGAAGGGAATGCCACTTATACTGAGGAGCAGCTGCTTGGGGTACAAAGGTGAGCCTATGGTGGGATTAAATAAATGATTTATTTTATGTAGAGTGCCTGGTTAGAAAATGTGCTATACAAGTTTTGACTGCTATATTTATTGTTATTTTATTATTGAAACATGGTAGTTCCGGGCCTCCCCGGTGGCGCAGCGGTTGAGTGCTGGGTTACGAAGCTGCCCGTAGCCTCTGCAGCGCTGGTTCGATTCCTGGCTGCTCCCCTGCCACTGGAGGAGGGTCCCACATGGCGCGCAGACCTCTCCTGCCGCCCACTGCTCCCCTTAGCACTGTACTTCGGTCCTTCTGCCTGCTCTGCTCCCCACTCTGGCTCTGGTGAATTCTCTCACCCTCCTGCGCTTCTGACTATACCCAGTGCTTGTATAAATAAATAAATAAATATTTTTTTTTTAATTCTTAAAAAAAAAAAGAAACATGGTAGTTTGGTGGCCTTAGAAACAAAACAGGGTGATTTTAGGGTGCATTACGATGTAGTCTGAAGTAACTATCCTATTTCTACTATAAGAGAGACAGAGAAAGTCAACTATACATAACAGACATCTATACAACATTCTACCCAATAATAGAACACACATTCTCAGGTATATATGGAAATTCTCCAGGTCATAAAACAAGCTTCAATAAATCTAACAGTATTAAAGTCATGTAAGTTTATGTCCTCTGAAATTAACAACAGAAGGAAATTTACAAATATGTGAAAAATTAACAACATATTCCTAAATAACAAATAGGCTACAGAAGAAATCACAAGGAAAATTAGGAAATACTATATGATGACTAAAAAATGAAAGCACAGCATAACCAAAACATCTGGGATGTAGCTAAAACAATACTTAAATAGAAATTTATAGTTATAGGACCTCCCTGGCGGCACAAGGGGTTAAGACGCAACCTATGAAGCTTTCCACAGCCACTGCAGCACAAGTTTGATCCCCGGCCAGGGAGCTACCTACATAGCGCAGCAGACCTCTCCTGACTCACCCGCTGCTTCCCTCAGCAGTGTATTTCAGTCAGTCTGCCTGTTCTGTTCCCCACTCTGTCTCTGGTGAATCCTCTCACCCCTGCACCTCTGGCCTGTACCCCAGTTCTTGTATGCATAAATACTTATAAAAATAAAATAAGGATCTCCCTAGTGGTACAAGGGGTTAAGACGCAACCTATGAAGCTCTCCGCAACCACTGCAGCACAAGTTCGATCCCCGGCCGGCCAGGAACAACCCACATGGCGCAGCAGACCTCTCCTGACTCATCTACTGCTCCCCTCAGCAGTGTACTTTGGTCAATCTGCCTGTTCTGTTCCCCACTCTGTCTCTGGTGAATCCTCTTACCCCCCACACCTCTGGCCTGTACCCCAGTTCTTGTAATCATAAATAAATATTTTTTAAAAATAAAATTAGGAATGACTGAGGGGACATCACCATCAATCTTATGTAAATAGTAAGAATTATAAGAAAATACTATAAATAACTGCATTCCAACAACTTAGATTACATAGATGAAGTGGATAAATCCCTAAAAGATACAAACTAATGAAACTGATTCAAAAAGAAACTGAAAATTATATAGGCCCACAACAAATAGACTGAATTAATAATCAAAAAACTTCCCACAAAGAAAAACCCAGGCCCAGGCGGCTTCAATGGTGAATTCTACCAAATGCTTGAAGAAAAATGAATTGATTCTTCATAAACTATTAAAGAATTGGGCCTCCCTGGTGGCGCAGCGGTTGAGTGCTGGGTTGCGAAGCTGCCCGCAGCCTCTGTGGCGCTGGTTCGATCCCCGGCTGCTCCCCGGCCACTGGAAGAGGGTCCCACATGGCGCGCAGACCTCTCCTGCCACCCGCTGCTCCCCTCAGCAGTGTACTTGGGTCTTTCTGCCTGCTCTGCTCCCTGCTCTGGCTCTGGTGAATTCTCTCACCCTCCCGCGCTTCTTACTGTACCCAGTGCTTGTATAAATAAATACAATAAATAAATAAATCTTAGGAAAAAAAAAACTGTTAAAGAAAATACCAGAGAAGAGAATACTTCCCATCTTGTTCTGTAAGGCCAGAATTACCTTATAACCAAACACAGACAAAGATATCACAAGAAAACTAATCAACCAATATCCCTTATGAATACAGATTCTAACAAATAAAAATGTAAAAAGAATTATATACCTTGACCATTTATCCCAGGAATGCAAGGTTGTTTAATACATACAAATCAATGTAATGTATCATGTTGGAATCAAAGGACAAAAGGCACATGATCATTCCAGTAGATGCAGAAAATGCATTTGACAAAACCCAACACCCTTTCATGAAAGCAGCATTCAATATCTTATTCCTGGGGAATTTCCTTAAGTTGATAAAGGCCATAGACAAAAAAATCCACAGTTAACATCATACTTAATGGTAAACAACTGGATGCTTTCCAAGATCAGGAATTGGATTGAAACAAGACAGTATGTTTTCAATACTGTAGTTGGAATTCAAGCCAGGGCAATTAGATCAGAAAAAGAAACAGAAGCCATCCAGATTGAAAAGAAGTAAAACTATATGCACATATGACATGACTTAAGTCCTAAGGAATACAGACACAGGCACACACATACACACATGCAATTAGAACTATAACTGAGTCCAGCAAAGTTGCAAAATTAATATACTAAAATCATTGTTTTCCTACATGCTGGCAATAAAAACATCTGAAAACTTCATTATAACAGCATCAAAAAGAATAAAATGCTTAGGAGCAAATAATGAGCTTATCTTCCTTTTTAAGATAAAAACCACATGGGCCTCCCTGGTGGCGCAGCGGTTGAGCGCTGGGTTGCGAAGCTGCCCGCAGCCTCTGCGGCGCCAGTTCAATCCCCGGCTGCTCCCCGGCCACTGGAGAAGGGTCCTGCATGGCGCGCAGACCTCTCCTGCCGCCTGCTGCTTCCCTCAGCAGTGTACTTCGGTCCTTCAACCTGCTCTGCTCCCCGCTCTGGCTCTGGTGAATTCTCTCACCCTCCCGCACTTCTGACTGTTCCCAGTGCTTGTAAAAATAAATAAATCTAAAAAAAAAAAAAAGATAAAAACCATAAAAGTTTTTTATCAAAATAAATTAAAGAAGATCTAAATAAATGGGAAGATAACCTGTGTTCATGAACTGGCAGGCTTAATAGTGGTAATATGGGAGAATCCTCAAATTGATCAATAGAGTTTGACACAATCCCTGTCAAATTCCCAGATGCTTTTTTTTTCCAATAGAAATTTAAGCTGATCCTAAAATTCAAAGGAAAATGCAAGGAACCCCAAATAGCTAAGAAGAATAAAGTTGAAACATTCACACTTCCAATTTTCAAAACTTATTACAAAGCTACAGTAATGAAAAGTGTGAACTAACATAGACATGTAGATCAGTGGAATACAACTGAGAGTCAAAAAATAAATTCTTACATTTATGACTAGTTGATTTTAAACAAGAGTGCCAAGACAGTTTAATGGGAGAAAGAAAAGTCTTTAAAAATGATGTTAAGACGGGCCTCCCCGGTGGCGCAGCGGTTGAGCGCTGGGTTGCGAAGCTGCCCGCGGCCTCTGCGGCGCCGGTTTGATCCCCGGCTGCTCCCCGGCCACCGGAGGAGGGTCCCACATGGCGCGCAGACCTCTCCTGCCGCCCGCTGCTCCCCTCAGCAGTGTACTTCGGTCCTTCTGCCTGCTCTGCTCCCCGCTCTGGCTCTGGTGAATTCTCTCACCCTCCCGTGCTTCTGACTGTACCCAGTGCATGTATAAACAAAACAAACAAACAAATAAATAAATAAATAAAACATGCTTCTATTAAAAAAAAAAAATTAAAAAAAAAATGATGTTAAGACAACTGTGTATCTGTATACAAAAGAATGAACTGGACCCATTCCTCACACAAATACAAAAATTAAATAAAAAACGAAATATAGGCCTTCCTGGTGGCACAAAGGGTTAAGTCTCAGCACTATGAAGCTATTGGCAGCCACTGCAGCATGAGTTACATCCCACATGGTGCAGCAGACCTCTTTTGTCTTGCCTGCTGCTCCCCTCAGCAGTGTATTTCAGTCAATCTGCCTGTTCTGCTCCCCACTCTGTCTCGAGTGAATCCTCTCAACCCCCCACCCTGTACCTCTGGCCTATACCCAGTTCTTGAATGCATGAATAAACATAATCTTAAAAAAAAAATTTTAAAGGGCCTCCCTGGTGGCGCAAGGGATTAAGCACCACATTATGAAGCAATCTGCAGCCTCTGCAGCACAAGTTGGATCCCTGACTGGCCGGGGAGCTACCCACATGGCACAGCCAGCCTCTCCTGTCTTACCGGCTGCTCCCCTCAGCAGTATGTTTCAGTCAGTCTGCCTATTCTGTTCCCCACTCTGTCTCTAGTGAATCCTCTTACCCCCTGCATCTCTGGCCTGTACCCCAGCTCTTGTATCATAAATAAATAAATCTTTTTTTTTTTAAAGATTTATTTATTTATACAAGCACTGGCTACAGTCAGAAGCGTGGGAGGGTGAGAGAATTCAGCAGAGCCAGAGCGGGGAGCAGAGCAGGCAGAAGGACCCAAGTACACTGCTGAGGGGAGCAGCAGGCAGCAGGAGAGGTCTGCGCGCCATGCGGGACCCTCCTCCAGTGGCCGGGAGCAGCCGGGGATCAAACCGGTACTGCAGAGGCTGCGGGCAGCTTCGCAACCCAGCGCTCAACCGCTGCGTCACCAGGGAGGCCCGAATAAATAAATCTTTAAAAAAAAAATTTTAAAAACCACCAAATGTAAAACCTAAATGTAAGAGCTAAAATTATAAAATTCATAGAAGAAAACATAAATATAAATCTTCACGACATTGAATCAGGTGACAGTTTTTTTACAGAATATCTAAAGCACAAGCAACAAAAGAAAAATAGGTAAAAATTTCATCAAAATTAAAAACTTCTGTTACCATCAGCAAAGTGAAAAATCAACACAAAGAATGGGAGAGAATAGGGGTCTCCCTGGTAGTGCAAGGGGTTAAGTCTCAGCACTGTGAAGCTATCGGCAGCCACTGAGGCACGAGTTGGATCCCTGGCTGGCCAGGTTGCTACCCACATGGCACAGCCAGCCTCTCCTGTCTTACTGGCTGCTCCCCTCAGCAGTGCATTTCAGTTGATCTGCCTGTTCTGCTCTCCACTCTGTCTCTGATGAATCCTCTCAATCCCCCCTCCACAAGCACCTCTGGCCTACACCCCAGCACTTGTATGCATAAATAAATAAAATAAACCTTTTAAAAAATATGTGACTATGTCTTTAAAAAAAAAAAAGAATGGGGGAGAATATTTTCAGATCATATACTGAGAACATACTGAGTACTCTTACAACAATAAAGACAACCCAACTGAAAAGTGGACAAAGATTTAAATAGATATTCTTCCAAAGAAGATAAATGAACAGGTAATAAACACATAAGAAGCTGCCCAATATTATTAGTCATTAAGGAAATGCAAATCAAAACCACAAGGAGATACCATATCATCTCATATCTACTGATGACTATAATTAAAAAGATTGACAATAACAAGTGTTGCTGAGGACATGGAGAAATTGGAGCCCTGTTAGATAATTGGCAGGAATATAAAATGGTTGCGCAAATCTGGATATACTATAAAACACTGAATTGTACATTTAAAGGAATGAACTTTGTGATATGTGAACTGTATCTCAATAAAATTATTACATAATAATTTTATAAGAAAGAGCAACGTGGGTCTACCCAGTGGCACAGCGGGTTGAGCGCAGCGGTGTGAGGCTCTCCGCCGCCTCTGCAGCACCAGCTCGATTCCTGGCCAGGCCGGAGAGGTGTCCACATGGCACAGCAGACCTCTCCTGCCTTGCCCACTGCTCCCCTCCCTCAGCAGCGCTTTCTGTCTGCCTGTGCTGCTCCCTGCTCTGACTCTGGTGAATTCTCTTACCCTCCCAAGCCTCTGGCCTGTACCCCAGTTCTGGTATAAATAAAAATAAAATCTAAAAAAAAAAAGAAAAGAAAAGAAAGAGCAACGCATGGGCCTCCCTGGTGGCGCAAGGGTTTAAGCACCGCACTATGAAACAATCCGCAGCCTCTGCAGCACGAGTTCGATCCCCAGCCAGCCAGAGAGCAACCCACATGACTAAGCAGACCTCTCCTGACTTGCCCGCTGCTCCCCTCAGCAGTGTACTTCAGTCTATGTGCCTTTTCTGTTCCCCACTCTGTCTCTGGCGAATCCTCTCACACCCCTGTATCTCTGGCCTGTACCCCAGCTTTTGTATGCATAAATAAATAAACCTTTAAAAAAAAAAAAAGAAAAGAAAAGAAAGAGCAACACGGATTTAAAATTGGGCTGGGATCCTAAGGATCCCCTTGGGGAGCTCTTAGAGAGAGACCTTGGCTGACACTTCTGACCCTACCTTATAGTTCAGCCTGTGTTGCTAACTTACCATGAACTCTTCAACTCTGCCTGCCCAACTGTATTGTATAGTAGCAAAAGACTGGAGACATTTAAATGCCCATCAGTAGGGGACCTATAAAATCTATAAAATGCAGTAATATTACTTTTTAAAAGAATGTGGTAGGCATATAATAATAGCTGAGAGTTATGTCAGTTGCTATCAAGCATTTTAATGATACTTCATTTAATCATAACAACAGCTTTGTGAAATATAGGTATAATTATTAAATCATTTCAGAAGACAACACCAAGACACAGAGGTTAAGTACACAGAAAGATCAGATCCCAAGCGAGGCATTTTGACTCGTTTATAATCTAGTCCATCAATTCTCAAAGTGTGGTTTGGGAACCCCAAGGACTTCTGGGGGAGCTCTGCAAGTTTAAAGTTATTTCCACAGTAATACAAACACATTATTTGCCTTTTTCACTGCCATTCCTTTGTGATTATAGAGTTTTTCAGAGGTTATATGATAAATATATTAATCCTCTGTGTTTTACAATTTTGTTTTCATTTCACATAAACAAAATCTCCTTTGGTGACTTCAATATTTTTTTTTAAAGATTATTTATTTTATACAAGAACTGGGGTACAGGTCAGAGGTGCAGGAGGGTGAAAGAATTCACCAGAGACAGAGAGGGTAACAGAACAGGCAGACGGACCGAAGACACTGCCGAGAGGAACAGCGGGCGAGGCAGGAGAGGTCTGCTGCACCATGTGGGGTTCTCCCTGGCCGGCGGGGAATTGAACCGGCCCTGCAGAGGCTGCAGACAGCTTCACAGCGTGGCGCTCAACCGCTGCGCCATGGGGGAGGCCCTATTTTTTAAGAGTATATGACTTCTCCGATAAAAAGTGCAGAACTGCCACTCTAGTCTAAACTACTATCCTATACTTCTCATCTTTCTCAGTTATGGATCGAGTTCCAAGATAAAATTGTTAGCTAAAAAATGCTAAATATAGAAAGGTGATTACAATATGCTTCCTTCTAGGTAAGAAAAAACTGGGAGGTCTCTATACACATACCATCTGTACATAGGATTCACAGAAAACTAACAGTGGTTGTCCTTAGCATAGGTGATAGGGACAGGAACTAGGTAAGCAGGAAGATTTTTCTTAAGATAGCTTAGTACTATTACATATTTTCTTCTACCTGTGTATATATTAACATTTTAAAGCAAAGTTTTAAAAGATAGCTAAGAAAAAAGAGAGGGGGGAAAAACAGGGTGGTTTAAAAAAATGGGTGTTTCTTTTGGCTTTGCTGTCCTGTGAGGTAACTCTCAGGACCTTGGCCTGCACTTTAATGTAAAGATTAGCATACTTGTTCAACCCACTTTTGCAGGATACAGAAAGAATAAAGTTAAATGTAAAAATACTTTGAGAAGCATTAAGCTCTCAGTGGTCAGAGAACACTGTTAGTGAATCTGAATGTTTCATTCATGTGTTCAAGAATTTTCTTTTAGGTTTGTTTTGGGATTTACGGGTTTGAGGGGAGGATCAACAAATAATTTGCAGTTAATTCTACAAAACAGGATTTTGTAGACCTACATGTTCCTGATGTGCTTTTAGGATCAAGAAATGCAGAAATTACTATGAAATTCTGGGAGTTTCGAGAAATGCCAGTGATGAAGAGCTTAAGAAAGCTTACCGAAAACTCGCCCTAAAATTTCATCCTGACAAGAACTGTGCTCCTGGAGCAACAGATGCTTTCAAAGGTTTGATGCTGACTGATGATGCTTAATTCTGCCCTTCTTGTGATATTTGGTCACAGCTAGTTATTTTCAGTCTCCCCTGTAATTGTTCTATAAGGCCACAAGTAGGTCTTTTTTACTACCACACCTCTTAAATGATGATTTCAGGCAAAATTCCCTCCTGTCTCCATTCATTTAACTTAATATCTTTTAGAAAATATTCTTTGATTTTTCTGTAATACATTCTGAAACTACCCATTCATTGAATCAGCAAATATTTATTAAAGATCTATGTGCCAGGCGGGATCATGAATAAAATAAGATACGATTTGGGCCTCCCCGGGGTGGTGCAGTGGGTTGAGCACAGTGCTGTGAAGCTGTCTGCAGCCTCTGAAGCACAGGTTCAATTCCTGGCCTGCGAGGGAGATACCCACTTGGCGTAGCAGACTCTCCTGTCTTACCCACTGCTCCCCTCAGCAGTGCTTTCGTCCATCTGCCTGTTTTGCTCCCCACTCTGTCTCTGGTGAATTCTCTCACCCTCCTGTGCCTCTGGCCTGTACCCCCATTCTTGGATAAATAAATAAATCTTTAAAAAAATTTAAAAAAAAATATGATTCCCTGACAATTAGGGCCTAGACAGCACTCTTCAACCATGGAAACTCTTTGTTTATGAAACATGTTATTAAGATGTTCCTATGGAAAAGGACCATATATAAAGATCATAAATATAATTTTACATCAAATCTTTTTTCCATTGATTTCCATGCTTTCAGAAATAAATTTTCAAAAAATATTTTGGGGTGGCCTTCCTGGTGGTGCAAGGGATTAAGTCACAACACTATGAAGTTATTGCAGCCACTACGGCACAGCATGAGTTTGATCCCCGGCTGACCAGGGAGGCGACCCACATGGCGAAGCAGACCTTTCCTGTCTCGCCCGTTGCTTCCCTCAACAGTGTATTTCAGTCAATCTACCTGTTCTGTTCCCCACTCTGTCTCTCGTGAATCCTCTCACCCCCCACACCTCTAGCCTGAATCCCAGTTCTTGTATGCATAAATAAATAAATCTTTAAAAAAATATTTTGGATACAACACACAAATAATAATCTTAAGAGCTTCCCCTCCACTGGAGTCTTTTTTTAAATTTTTAAAATTAATTTTTTTAAAAAATTAATATAATGAAAGGCAAAGAAAAAAGTGAAAAGACTTTAAGATTAAAAGAAAGTTAATCTTGGGCCTCCCCGGTGGTGCAGCGGTTGAGCGCTGGGTTGCGAGGCTGCCCACGGCCTCTGCAGCACCAGTTTGATCCTCCCACATGGCGCGCAGACCTCTCCTGCCGCCGCTGCTCCCCTCAGCAGTGTACTTCGGTCCTTCTGCCTGCTCTGCTCCCCGCTCTGGCTCGGTGAATTCTCTCACCCTCCCGTGCTTCTGACTGTGCCCAGTGCTTGTATAAATAAATAAATAAACCTTTTAAAAATAATAAATAAATAAAAGAAAATTAATCTTAAAACCAAACACAATATATGAACTTTGCATAGATTCATTGGATAATGAGTTGTTAATTTTCTTAGCTGTGATAATGATTTTGTAATCATGCGAGAGAATGTCTCTTAGGAGAGGTGTACTGAAATATTTAGAGATGAATTGTCAGCAAAGCAAGTTTATATAGATATATATATTATATGTATGTATATATAGAGCTGAGGAAAGCAGTGTGGCAAATGCTAACAATTGAATCAAGATGAAGAATATACATGTGTTTATTATACTATTTTTTAAATTTTTACGTATATTTGAAATTTTTCAAAGAACAAGAGAAAAATGATAGAGCTGAGGAAAGTCAACATTTACCTCAGAGGTGCATTTTTTGTTGATGTACCATTGTGAATCAGTTCTCCCTTCAATTTCTAAAGGAAATCAATAGACAGCCCATATTTTGTTATGCCTTCTTGTAGATATCTCATAGAGTATTTGCATGTCTTTGAGAAATTTGCCAGATTTCAAGGGCTATGACTTTAAGCAGCTCTGTTTAGATTTTTTTTCTGCTTAGCTGTTTTATTGCTATAAATGCTTAATATAATTTCCTAACTAGAAGAATAATAAAGAAATGTTCTTTCTGGCTGTGTTTCTGATAATGTTAACTGAATTAGAGATAGGAGGTGGGAATGTCTTATATGATTTTCTTTTTGGGATTTCACTAATTATATGTTTAAGTGAATTTGGACAAAGTTTGCACATTTTTTCAAAGGGAGGAGAGCTGATTGGAAGCATATATAATCTATTCAGTCTTTGATCCCCCATTGAGATATTGGAAATACTTTGGGGGATTCTTAATTTTGAAAGACCATTTTCTAAAGTAAGATGAAATAAGACTGTGATGAATGAAGACTTAGTTTTTAGCCTAAGTTTTAGCCAAGTTGGAAATTTTTTACTGGTTATTTTATTCAGGAGATTATTTCTAACTTCAAGTTAGAATGCCACTAGGTATGTTACAGTATCCAACCATAAGCCAAGTAGAATATGAAAACATTTTTGATGAATTCAAGTGCTGGTCAGTGGGTGGTACTTCTCCAACAGGTCTGGGACTTGCAGTGAGTGGCAGCCTAGCCTAGGGTAGGGGGTAGAGCTCTAATTTCTAGGAAAAAAACTGGGATGGCTTAAGGGCTCTTGATTAGGAGTTAATGCTCACTTCAGCAGTAGTTTTTACTTCATTTTGATTCTAGTGTTGTTTCTTATCAGACTAGATCATGGAAAATTTCAAGGGCAAATTCTTTGGTGACCTTTCTAGACCCAAGCTCCACTCCTTGGGCCCTGTGAAATTATCCGGCACCAGTCGACTGTGGGCTCGTCATTGCTGCTTCTGTGATTGCCTTCAAATACAGCAAAGACTATGTGTTCAGGTGCTTTTTGTTTTGGTTGCAGCAATAGGAAATGCCTTTGCTGTGCTGAGCAACCCTGACAAGAGGCTACGCTATGATGAGTATGGAGATGAACAAGTGACTTTCACTGCCCCTCGAGCCAGACCCTATAATTATTACAGGGATTTCGAAGCCGACATCACTCCAGAAGAGCTGTTCAATGTCTTCTTTGGAGGACATTTTCCTACAGGTTACTATCCCAAAATTATTATTACATTGTTAAAGTTAAATTATTGTTAATTGTTATATATTAATAAATATTAATATATTTATTATATGTGTATAATATATTATATATTTGATATTTTATATATTATATTTATAATTTATATATAAATATAAAAATATTAAAATATCAGAAGCTCCAGTTTGAGAATATAAATAGATATGGAAACAGCAAGAATTTGGAATTGGATGAGCTGAGGTTCATATATCTGTAACCTCCAGATTTCCATGATTTTGACCAAATCACTTAGTCTCTCTGATCCTTTTCTCTCTTTTCCTCACCTGATAATACCTACCTCAAAGGACTGCTAGGCTATGAAGATTAGTTATTTTAAGTGCTTTATAAATAAATAACAAAATGCCTGTTATAATTGCAAAATAGCAGCTATATAAAGAGAAAAGTTAGAAAAGTATCCCCAGAGAGTTGGAAGTTGAGATAATTAAATCTCCAGGAAGTAAATTGAATTTTATGAGTCACTATTAGATACACTTAGTGACATAATCCGATATTGGCAAGGAGCATGTCAGACAAGATTCATGGCCCAAATGCTCTTTCTTTACTAGCCTTTTGAGGTTCTCTCGCTTACTAGTTACAAAGGACTATTTAAATAAAGGCTAGGGGCCTAAGCACATTCCATTTTCAGCTGGTTCGCTTGGCTTTCCTACTCTCTTGTTTGTCTACTGGATAAAATGAAACAATCCCCTACCCTCAGAGAACCTAGTTGGGGGCAAGGGTCCTGGGAAGGCAAGGAAGGCGTGTTTGCCATACCCCATGCTCAGTATTTGGTTTGTTTATTTTCTTTTCCAGGAAATATTCATATGTTTTCAAATGTGACTGATGATACCCACTACTACCACCGCCGTCACCGACATGAGCGGATGCAAACACGAAAGGAAGAGGAAGAAGATAAACCCCAGGTACCTACGAGGAAAGAACTACTCATATGCACTGATCTGCCCTTTGTGGTGTATGATCAGGTGTTACAAGTTCAGCTGTAGATACATTGCTAAAATGTGCTTTTGGAAAGCAGAGGCACTGGTAGGAGCTGGATAATTGGCCCAAAGAGACGAGGGTGATACGCTTTTCTTTGCCCCTTCTTTGGTGGCTCAGTTTCCCTATGGGGCCATCTTGATCAGGATTTTCTTGACTGCAGAAAATGAATCCTCCTTCAAAATATTCATAACTAATGAGCACAGCTGGGCCTCATGACAGACGGGCCCAGGAACTGGCATGCTATCTGGTGCCATGCAGCTATGTGCCCCATGACTCTTTTCTTTTTTTCCCCATGACTCTTTGGGGCCAGATTGTCTCCAGTTTTCCTGCCTCTCTGCATCTGCTTTGTTCTCTCTAAGCAGCCTGACTTGTTCTGCTTCTCCTTGCCAATGGTCAGTCTACATGTAGTGCCTAAGAGTATGTGACCTCTCTTCAGTGTCCTTTCTTCAAGTGCCTACCTTGCACTTGAAGAATGGTGATAAATGTCAATCCCACACTCCTAGGAGGGAGAACATGATTACCCCTTCTAGGATTAGATGTCCCCCGATCTGTTCAGCTGTGGCCAAGTCAACAGAGATGCCTGATCCTAACATGGACCATGAGTCACATCATCCAGGGTAGACTGGATGAGACACTGAAAAGACTCATCCAGAGGTATCTGAATGGACTTCATGGGTCTTAGAAAAGGGGGCTGCAGAAGGATTACTGAGTGTTGATCCACGTTGTGGGTGGACTTCCTTCAGCCTTCAGTTGTTTGGTGCCCTCAGCGGAAAGTACAGTCTTCCTAGAAAAGCCTTGGGCTTTGTGCAGTATTTTCTTTTTTTTTTACATTTTTTTTATGATTTATTTGTTTATGCATACAAGAACTGGGGTACAGGCCAGAGGTGTGAGGGTGAGAGGATTCACCAGAGGCAGAGTGGGGAACAGAACAGACAAAATGACTGAAACACACTGCTGAGGGGAGCAGCGGGCGAGACAGGAGAGGTCTGCTGTGCCACGTGGGTTCCTCCCTGACCGGGGATCGAACTCATGCTGCAGTGGCTGTGGACAGCTTCATAGGCTGCCTCTTAACCCCTTGTGCCACCAGGGAGGCCCTGTGCCTTATTTTCTTTGGGAAAACTAGACTAGTTTTGATAAGCTTTATTTTTTAATTATGTTTGTTGAGTTACACTGGTTTTTAGCTATATGTGTGTGTGTGTGTTTGTGTGTGTATATATTCTGCTATTCTTTATATATATTCTGCTCCATTATATATATATATATATATATATATATATATATATATATATATTTAGTAGTAAACATTTATACCTCTACAAGTGTTATGTCATCACACCATGCCCACCACCAAAGCCCTAGTAATCCACCATAGTCCATTGGGCCCCCTCCCTGTTTAAGCTTTCTATTGATGAGAATACTTACATTCAGTATTTTTTTCTTTTTCAGACTACATATTCTGCATTTATTCAGTTACTGCCTGTTCTGGTGATTGTTATTATATCTGTCATTACTCAGCTGCTGGCTGCTAATCCCCCATATAGTCTATTCTATAAATCGTAAGTCAAATATTTAGAAATCTTTCTTAACAATCTGGAGGGTGAAAGATTTAAAGGTTTTGCTGGTACATTACTAACATTTTGCTTCACCTTTCATCGTAAAAAACACTAATTTTATGGTTTAAAGGAACAGCTGGATAAATAACACAGAAATCTAAAAATACTGTAGGCAGTTGTCCTTGTACCTCAAGACACACATTGTTTTGTTCTACAGTGACATCATTCGGTCAGCTGCAGAATAGCAGGAACTGTTTTCTGAAGGATCAATAGAGTAACTGTGTTCAGATTAAATCCTTGTCACACCATGTTAGAGTTAGAAAAGGTTCTGTGGAGCTTGATAGATTGATGCGACTGATAGAGCCCTGTATCTAGGGACATAAGCTGAGATCAGTGGTGATTTTTAACTTAAACTATTGCAAGAATAGCACATTTATTCATGAGAAAGCTATGTAGTCAAACCATAGTATTCCATTTATTTGCTTTTGCTAAAAATGTAGAAAATAGTAATGTTTATAGTGCATGCAAATTACAAGCTCAGTTAATTATTTTAATTAATTCCAATTCTCAAAGTTTCATCTCTAGACTGGCATCAACTGGCAACATGTTAAAACTATTGGGCCTCACTCCTTATCTATTGAATCAGAAACTCTGTGGGTAGGAACCAGCTATACTGAGTTTTAACAAGCCCTCTAGATAATCCTGCTCCATATTAAAGTTTGAGGATCACTAGATTAATTTTTTTAGTTAATTATTGAGAAATGAATAATTACTTGTTGTTTTGCAGAAGGAAAGAAATTTTTAAAAGGAAGCAATAAAAAAGAATATAGTTTAATAGACAAAAATCTTACAAAATTTGAAAACCATGGGTAATATATAAGTCTTTGTTGATCACTGTAGACTAAAGACTGTCATTCCAGACTGTCTTTTTCTCTTTCTTTTACAAAGAGTAATGTTAAATCTCAGAGAGAAATTATTGCTATCATGTCACTCTGGCCTGATTCCTTCTATTTTCTGAATTCCTATTTTTCTCCATATGCTACTGCTACCTCCTTTTTTGTCAGGCCAGTGGGGCAGACAGAAACCTCCCCAGAGGAAGGGGGAGCAGGCATGGCCTGAGCTCTTAGACATTGAGCAAGATCTCTAAGAGATCAAAGGAAAAGGCTGGGAAAGGCCAAATATAACTCACTTAAGATGGAATTTCTTCATTTTGAACAAAATCAACTTGGATTTTGCACATTGCTGTCATGTTGTAATTTTAGCTCTATTTTATACTTCCTTATGGTTAGAATTTAGTTAACCCAAGCCTCAGGGTTTCTGAGCACCAGATACCATTGGATGTCTTAGACCCACAGAGAGTTAGCCCAGAAGCATCAATGACATCCTCTGTGGAGGCATTTGCAGTTCTTACTTAGTAGCTATATGTGAAATATTTTTTATCATGTCCTAAAAATTGATGCAAGGTTGGTGTAAGCTATTTGGTGTTGGTAAATACCTTACTGTAACATTAATCATTCATTAACCAGCATTTACTCCGTGCCATTACTATGTTATGTCATATAAAACATACAATTTGTTTTTTAAAGCATTTACTTTTAGCCTCAAAAGCAGTATAAAAAAAGTGAATCCTTTAAAAGAATAATGTAACTATGCTGACGCTGAATCCATAATATGAACATGTTCACATAACAGCAATTATGATGACATTACACTTAAAATTTTGTCAGAGAAATAATAAATGTTAGGTGTTTTGGAAAATATTTGCATCATTCCTGTGAAGAGGTGAATGTGATAATGATATCTGTTGAGGCCAATACTAAAAGTGATACTGCTCAAAATAACAAGCTTACCTGAGCCTCTCTGCTGATTTCAGGACCTTGGGCCACACCATTTCCAGAGAAACCCAGAACCTGCAGGTGCCTTACTTTGTGGATAAAAACTTCGACAAGGCCTATAGAGGAGCATCTCTTCGTGACCTGGAGAAGATGATAGAGAAGGATTATATTGATTATATCCAGACAAGTTGTTGGAAGGAAAAACAACAAAGTAAGATGCTCTAAATGGGTGTTATCTGGTGGCCCTGCTTCCCAGCCTGAGGCATCCCCAGTTTTCTGGTTCCTCCTCTTTCCTTACTTGAGTCTCATGTGTTTACATGGACAGAGGCCCATTCAGGATACTATAAAAAAGGAAAGTTTATTGATAGGATATATATGGCTGGGATTTGGAAATTGTAAACACTCATTGTCTGTCTGAGTCTCTACCTCTCTCTACCCCATTTTCTCCACTCTCCTCTCTGCCAACCCCTTTCCTGTGTTTCTTCAAGCTCTCCTCCTTCACAACCTTGTTTTTCCATGGTTTATTTTGGTTGCTGCCCTGCACGTCGCTCTCCCAAGTTCCCCAACTATGCCATTCATTGACCCCTTTCTGTGTTGCCAGGGTCATTGTTACGTTCTCGTTGCTAGCTGGCTTTTGCCATAGTTTCCTAATCCCATATTCCCTTCAGAGACATCTGATTGATCCAGCCTAACTCTGTGAGCCAGACCAAAGGTTTGTAGATTGTTGGTATTGAGTGAGTGCCTCCCATCCTCTGCTTCAGTCCACTGTGGTCACATAGGACAAAGCAACCCTCGGCCTCTTCAGTAAGGGTAGGTATCCGCAGGCTTTCCACTCTGTTTCCCTCTCTGGAGACAGTTGGGGTGACAGTGCCTATCACTTGGCTTACAATTCCAGTGAGTATTAGTGGGGAGTGCTAGTCACAAGAGGAACCCAGTCTCTCAGCCAATAGGTTCACATTTTATCCCACTTATCTCTCTCTCACACACACACACACACACACACACACACACTCCCATAACTATCTTATAAAACTTGACTGGTTAATTTTAAAAAAGCAAATTCTAACTCATTTTTTAAACCTTATTACTAGGTATTATTAAACATCTAACAGTATCTGATAAAATTAGCTCTTCAGATAGTGCTGCTAAGCTCTCACTAACCCATCATGCACCCAACCCCACCCTCAAGCTAATCTCCTGTGTTCTTAAAGCACAACGGTAGTGTTTCATAGACACATGTAGGACTGTGGGCTCTCTGAGGACAAGAACTATGTCTTACTAATTTTGTTTCCCAGGCCCCTGGCACAATCCTTATTTCAGAACAGGTGCTCAACAAATGTCCTTTGAAGAGAAGAGTCTCAGGACTGCAAAGCAATGAAAATGTTGAGGATTAAGAATCACAGAGCAGGGTTGGCATCCAAAGCCTAGCCCTTAGGGACCGCCCTCTATTTCTGTAGGGCGAAGCCCAGCTGGACTCACAGTTGCCTTAGGAGCTGGGTGGGCAGTGAGTGTAGGGGAATTGAGCAAGAGGAGAAAGTTGCCTTTTTATTGGGAAAAAAAATGAAGAGGTCAGGAAATACTCTACTTCACTGTTAAACTAGTTTTTGAAAATTAAGAAAATCAGGAAGGAATTTTGGAGCAAGATAAAAAAAGCCTTTAGACTGCAAGGAAGTATATATAAGTGGATCCAAATTGGTGAAATCCAGTTTATGTCCTAAAAGGCCCCATTGTCTTGAGCACTGGGAGGGTTTTGAAATTCATTGCTTTCTGCAAGAACGGGATGAAAATATGCATTTCATGTTCTTCACGCACACCTACACATCTGCGCCAGCTGGAACTATGCAAAGAGCTCATGGCAAGGAGTAGACGAAGGTGGCTTCTAGCCTTTTGTTCCCATCCCCATGAGGTCTAGTTTCAGGGCTTCGGCATTCTCCAAGCATAAATAAAAAACCAGTGGGTAAGCATGATGCATGTACCCACAAGTTCCAAATGGGGTTTATCAGCACACGCCCCTTAATAATCTATTTCTGGCATTGAAGAACGGTGGCTGTCTGGAGCCTCCACACTACCCAAGTGCCATTTGAGAACGAGCAGCATCTGCCCTCCGGATCCAGCAGCAAGAGCTGCCAACAAGGTTAAATTTAGTACTTGGAGGTTATAAAAATAAACCCACTTGAGAACAAAGTTCCCTCTTGGCAAAATACCGAATGGAAACTGTTTATAGCAAAGATAGCCATTGTCTTTTTTTTATCTTTTGTTCATTTCTTTTCTCTGCTCTTCCTTAGAATGCTTCGTCTGGATGAACCTTTATGAGTAATCCCTTACTATGAGACTAATTGCCCTGTTTACTCCTTCACAGCTGCATCTAAATAATAAACACAATGCCAAGGGAAGTGGCCATGCCACTGCACTGGGTTGGGCAAATTAACAGGCAGGAACTGCCTCCTGGCCTGCCGGGCTGAGCTGACATGCTCGCCCTGACTGATAGAGACACACTTCTTACCAGGCTCAGGAGCAGGATAGCAGAGTGGGTAGAGGCGTAGGCTTTGCAATGGGGAGAAATCCATTTCCTGCTAGAGAGGCTGTATGGATTATAGAAGATGGGGCAGCTACGACTCTCAGCCCGGTGCCTGGCATATAGTAAGTGCCTGGTTCCTGGAGAAGCCCAGGCCTTGCTTGACTGGCTGCAGCACTGTCTCATGGGGGTGAGGATATCAGGATCGCTTGAGGTATTGCTGTTGTCACGACTCCAATCTGGGCTCTGGTGCAGTGTTCCTGGGAGAGGCTCTGAAATGTGTTTCTCTTGGCAATTTGCCCAAGGAATTCTACCTTAAAGGTTAAATGCTCTGTCCATTTACTGCAGTGGCATGCAGGGCAAAGGAAGCATTCTGCAAAGAAGGAAAGATATTCTCTTGATCCTGCCCATTGCAGAGTTTTTTTGGGTTGGTGGTTTTTTGTTTGTTTTTTAGTTACTTAAAAGTTATTGAATATTAACAGAACATTTTAAAAGTAGAATATTCATTGAGTTGACCTTTTGTTCACTGAAGGGCAAAAGGATTCACTGGTAGCTTGGAGAGGAGTTTTGCGAAGCATGGTATAACATTGTTCATGGAAACACTGACTTTGTGCACAGTCATTGCTCTAGAGCAGGGTTCCCAGGCTCCAGAACACTGAAACTTGCTTTCACTGAACACTACATAAAGCAATGTGATGTTTTGAGAAAAGCACTCATATATATGCATTTATCTTTCATCAGCTCATTACACTGGTCTTATGTGTTGAAAATACTAAGAATCACTAGCCCTTAATATTTTCTAGAATGAGATTTGAGGCAATGAAGCACTTAGGAAAGCTCAGTAAACCAAAAAAACAAAAACAAATCCACCCAAAACCACCACCTAAGGAAATTATTTCTTTTTTTATTATTATTTTTTATTTTTTTTATAGAGGCATTTATTTGTTTGCTTGCTTTGTTTATACATGCACTGGGTACAGTTAGAAGCGCGGGAGGGTGAGAGAATTCACCAGAGCCAGACCAGGGAGCAGAGCAGGCAGAAGGACCGAAGTACACTGCTGAGGGGAGCAGCGGGCGGCAGGAGAGGTCTGCGCGCCATGTGGGACCCTCCGCCAGTGGCCGGGGAGCAACCGGGGATCGAACCGGCGCTGCAGAGGCCACAGGCAGCTTCGCAACCCAGCGCTCAACCGCTGTGCCACTGGGGAGGCCCTATTTCTTTTTTTTTTTAAAAAAGATTTATTTATTTATACAAGAACTGGGGTACAGGTCAGAGGTGCAGGAGGGTGAGAGAATTCACCAGAGACAGAGCAGGGAGCAGAACAGGCAGACAGACTGAAGACACTGCTGAGGGGAGCAGCGGGCAAGACAGGAGAGGTCTGCCACCAGGAATTGAACCCGTGCTCAACCCGCTGCGCCACTGGGGAGGCCCTAAGGAAATTATTTCAAGAGGCAAAACCACCAAATGTGTTCCATATACTGTGTGAATGACTCGATAGCACCAGAGGCATACACTATTTTCACAGAAGGCTCCCGAACAGGTTTCCTGCATGCACAGAAACCAGGGGAACCGGGTTAGTGCTGAGCTCTGAGCAAAATGCAGGAGCAGACGGGCTTCATTTGGGTGCGGTACATGATACCCCATGAAGCCCATCACCTGCGAGGATGACTGTGCCAAGGCAAGTTCTGGCTAGCAAACACTCCGAGCACCCATGCCAAGGGAGAGAGCACATTGTTCTGGAGTCTAGGAGACCTGCTGCTTGCCAAGCAACTGCCCAGGCTCTGAGTCTCCATTGTGGAGGAATGGTTCTCATGCATATCCACCCCTCACCCTGGAGTCCCGCACTTAATCTGCACTTTGGGCCTTTCTTGATGTAAATAGACTCATTGTGAGCAGAAATGCCAGACAGTGTTTTGTGTTGATAGAAACTTATTCAGAAACCAATGCCCATTGTTCCCCTTGGCTAAGTCTTAATTCTTGTTTCCAGGCAGTTTGCTGATTAATCAGACAGGTGCCTCTCGTTCCACCGAGAAAAACAAAATCTGTCAACAGGATGATTAAGAATGGATAGACATATTTCAAAATGATTAAAATAGCATTTTCACAAGTATGGTCCTTTAAACATTGAGTGGCTGCCTGCTGTCGGAGGTTTCAGAAGCCACACAGCCCATCCAAGCATGCCGTCCTGTTAATACACAACACGTCTCTGGAGGTGCTTTTCAGGCATTCCTTCCCAAGAATGTCCCTGAAATTTTACAAAAGAATTAAAAGAAAAAAAAAAAAAAAAAAAAAAACAGATGCAGCAAAAGCACCATTGAATCACGGAAGACAGCAAAGATTATATTCTGGTTAAAAATAGAATGACCTTCTCTGCCATGAAGAGAAAATGAAATTCATTTAGTCAAGGAGACAGAGGTCACTGGATCCAGATGATTTCACTTTTAAAAGAGCCCAGCTGCCTTTAGCCGCTGAGTTAGGGACCCCACCTGTGGTGAGGGAATGAAGAAAACCACCAGTAACCTGGCCTTCTATAGAGGTCCTGCCCACTGGAGGTAGGCGCCGTGTCAGTTAGCACATATGAGTTACGATCCAGCCGCACAGGAGAAAGGATGAAGCAGCTGTCTTTGTTTCAAATTACAGGAAAGGACGATTGGACTCCATTCTCTCCCAACTGCCATCTGAATGCCATTCGTAGGAAAGCCGTGCAACAGTCTCCTCTTACTGCACACGTGCAGGTTTCCTAAGTCTGGTGCCAAATGTTCTATTGATAAGAACTCAGTCCGGTGCCTTTATAATAGAGCACAGATATTGTAGACTACAGGATCACAGGTGTCTTTTAATCCTCAGAGTCGGGTGTAGCTGTCCAAGATGTTCCTTGAATAAAGGTTTCTTAAATTTAATTGAAAGAAAAAAAACATTAAATGGTAAAAGGAGCTTTGATTCCAGAAATATTGATGTGAAACCAACAGTTGGAGTCTGTTGATGAGCTGGTTCCCTCTTTTATCTTTCAGAGTCCGAGTTGACAAATTTGGCAGGATTATATAGAGATGAACGACTGAAACAGAAAGCAGAGTCGCTGAAACTTGAAAACTGTGAAAAACTTTCCAAACTCATTGACCTACGCAGAGGTGGCTGACAGGATGATAGTCCTTCGCAGGGTCGGGGTTTTGCTACCTGTTACTATTTATGTTCCTAACTCCATTTTATAAAACAAAATTAGGAAATACTGAACATTTTACAATTTGCTAACTTTGGTGGGCAGAGCTGAAGGTGCTTGAGCAAGGAGCCAGCCTTGGCATTACAGAATCCTTCTAAGGGGTTGGCTCCAGGGGCCAGAAGCAGTTCATCTAAATTGAGTCATGGCAGAGTGTTGGATTCAGCCCCCTGCTCCTTGCCTACCCTGCCTCTAGGAATGTAGTTCAGACATCCCCGGTGAATTCCTATTTTTTGTTTCGTACCTCTTCAGTTAAGTCCCAATACTCAGTCATTTCCAGGCTTAGCCAAAGCAGCTTAATATCAGTTGTTTACAGTGCACACCAAGAACTATACCTCTTCCTTCATAAGAGTCACTAGCTCCCCAGGATTCAGCCTTTGGAACATGCTCCTAATCAGCTTTCCATTTTCTGAGGGGAACGTGGAGAAATGTAAACTGTTGTAGTTAATAGTTTTCTATTTGCCTAATCTCTGTTAGAATTACTAGCATCAGCAAACTGCCTGATCGGAGTTTCTTTTATTTCCTTAACCCTTTCTTATAGAGGGTCCAGAAATTAAAAGGTATTGAGTAAAACAGTTGGACAACTCAGCAGCAGGAAGCCGGGGAAGGGAGTTGAAGGTCAATATATGGCTGAGTCTCAGTTTCTCTGTGCAGGTTCTCAGTTCAGCATAGAGCTAGAGAATGTTCTTTCTATCATTTCCCCTTGCAGGATCACATTTAAGCTGAGTCCCTACACCCACAGACGTACATGGCCGGCCAACTGGACTGTTTGCTGAAGCCTAAGAGAGGGGAAAGCCTCTCTTTTCGTGGCTGGGGGTGTTCTGGTGTTGCCCTTGTAGTCACTTTGTTTAATCCAGGGCCCTGCAGTTGCTTTTTCGTTTATTCAGCATTTGAGTGCCTAGTTTGAAGCAGGCACTCTCACATATAGTTTCTTCCTGTAGTCTCCTCACAACTCTGTGAAATAGATGTTATCTGTTTCTCTGCGTGAGAACACCTGCCAGGGAGGACGAGTAGTAGGCCTGGGAAATATAAGTGCTCATGGCAGAGTTAAAGGGTGAGCTTATTATCAAGCTGAAAGTATGAGATCATTCCTATTTCTCAGGTGATTCTAGCCAGGTTGGTAAAGCAGAATCTTTCCTAAGGATGTCACTGTGCACCAGGCCTCTGACCCTGTATCCTGCCGATAGCAGTTCTGCATCCATTCAGGATACCTTCCCCCAGTCTTAAGACCCTCTCTGTATACAAAACGAGATCTGGCAAAGGCAGGCAGCCTTCCCCACTGGTGGCAAGGAAGAGGTGAATTGTTGCCTGGGCTCTGTGCTCAAACCAGAAAACTTCTGGGCCTTCCTGTGGAAAGAAGTTACTAGGATCAAGCTGCCCATGTTGTCTTGAATCTGAGCCTGGAAGAAACAGTTGTTTACTAGTCTACACTCCATGTTTTCTTCGGGATGGGAGAAAAGTTCCTGTTGGGAGGAGTGTACATTCAAACTGATTCCAAAGTAGTTCCCCCTTTCAGATGCATACCCATGATTTAGGCAGTGGTGTCTAGCATGGTTCAAACGTGAGGGCATTCCACAGGGTCAGGAGCTCAGTGGACGGTAAAGGCGGGGTAAAGAGTGGTGGTAGGGAACAAGTGCTCCCTGTGGGGAAGAGGAGCAGTTCCAGAGAAAGCCAGATTTTGCAGCCCAACTAGGTCTTCCCTTCTGGTTTGGCGGGGACCTCCCTAACCCCCACTGAGTGACTGAGGATTCACACTATAAAGTGAGCCAAACAGGCTTGTGGAAAGCTTTCCTATACACACAGAAAAGCTCTCCCATCCCGAATCTCAATACTGCTAGAAAATGGGCCATAATTAAGCTGACTTGACAGGTTAAAAGACCCTCTCTAGTTGCCCATGAATAGTGTAGTCACACATTTTATGGATTTCATGGCAAAGATGAGTTATCTGCAATGACACTAAATAGAGGCGACACTAACTCCATTAAATGTCAGGCCTATTGTCTGTTTTTATAGCACTAATGGTACTGTTTTACTTATTACCTAATAGACCACAGCATTCACATCTGGTTTTCTTCAAGGGAATGGTATTTGCTTTGGGTTGAAGGATAGTTTAATCTATTTGGAACTATCCAGAATACTGTTAAATGATAATTTTCTGGGTTATATTTTAGACAGGTTGTCTGCATGGTGGTAAAATAAGCATTTTCCTCTTGCCTATATCCTTTGGCAATTTTCCTGATCATATATAAACTCTTGGGTAAAGCTGCTTCTTGCTGTCCAAACTTGGTGTGCAGCACCAGGCTGTTTCTGTGAACACGAATGCAGACCGGAGATGTGTTATGGGAGCAGAGCTGAGAAATGGGACTTGAGACTCAAGGAGAAGCTCTGGTTCATTAGAATGAAAGTGCTGTCTGCACTGCACGATCTGCAGTGAGGAGGGAGGGCTAGAAAGCCTTCTCATCACAAAGGACAATGCAACTTAAAACAATCTGTATCCCCAGATGAGTGACCTGGGGTTCATCTGCTGAAACCAGAAAACTTCTGAACTTCCTTGGTCAACGCCAGGCCTCACTGCTTGGGAGAAGTGAAAAGTAAGAAAATGCGACTGCTAGGCTTTCTGTTGGAAACTATTAGAAATGGCAATGAACTCCAAACCCCACTAGAAGATGGAATCCAGCAGCCTGTCCAAGCTTTGTGTTATTCTCATTTTCATCCTCACACTCAGGACTGGCTTTGTGAGGAGGCACTGTTAAGATCCCAGAAGCTTTCTCTTACAACTGGCCACACATGCAAGTTCATTGTCTCTGCATGCACTGTTCCTCACAGGAGCTAGCACTTAATTAGCATTTATTTTTAATTCATTTAAGGTGTAAGCTTAGTGTTCTAATATATTTATTTTTGGAAAGGCCAAGTTACTATATATCTTATTTTTTGAGCCTGCATTACTGAAACCTTGTGCAGTGACCACCAAGTAACTATATACCCATGTGTTAGATACTGATTACATCATTTGCATCACACTCAGTATTTGGAACTAAAGATGTAAATGTTCCGTGACCAGAGCCAGGTTTGACACAGGAGGAATCAGCTCCGGTGGAGTAAGAAGCCAGAAGAATCTGGTCACCTGATCCATTGCATCTGGATTGAGTGTATTTTAACAGAGAAAGAAATTAAACGATTTTATATAAAAAGAATAACTTTGCATTTTTCCTTTGTTCTTTTAGCTATGCTGGGCATCCTTGAGTACTGTATATAACCTGACTTCCATAGAGCTTAAGACTACACAGTTTGTTGGCCTCTGCTCCAACCTTCCCTCATCCATCAGTGAGATTATCATTGATTGGAACAATAGATAGCACCGGTAGATTCGCCAATTTCCATATTTTTTTCCTAACAGATAATAGCAGCTAATGTACAGATCAAAACTATTCAGCATCAGAAAATGAAGTGTTAGCTCAGTTCTTGCCGGCTTTGTTCCCAGTGGCACATACTTAGAAAAGTCTATATGGTTCAGTTGCGTGCTGGGGCGTCTGAAAGTACAACAATATTTCATTTGAAAAGAGGTTGAAATGAGACTGGATTCAGCAAAAATGGAAAGCTTACTGTGTGGCTGGTGGGCTGAGCTTTTGGGATGGGGGTCAGGAAGTGATTGAGACCCAGCACCAAGGTACCTGGAACTCACATCTAATGGGGAACAATGCTAATAAACGATGCTCCCCCGTGGGATGAATGGCAAAGGGTAACCGAGGGAAATCTGGGAGTCTATAACAAAGGGGTTTAGTCCAATATGAAGGATTTGTGAAAGCAGCTCTGAGGAAGACGTACTTGAAATTAGAATCACCCCTCACATACAGTGCAGAATTGTTGCTTGTAGTGGAGATGGAAGCAACTCTCCGAGTGCTCCCACTTCTATGAATGGCACCATCATCCAAGTACAAAAGTCAGAAATCCAAGAAAATGTGTGATAGACAAGGGTGCCTAACACCCATGCCCTTATGAAATCAGTCCCTTTTGTGTTTGGGCTGGACTGTGATCTTTAAACAGCAGAATGTGGCAAAACTAGCAACTTCCATTTTCTGCACCCAGGGCAAGTGAGCTGCTGTGTAAGTGCAGACACTCTGAGATCTCTTTGCTAACCACGTGGAGAAGCCACACAGAAGATAACCAAACAACTCAGCTGGCAGCAAGAGCTGAAAACCGAGACACATAATCCAAGCCAAGCTATTTGTGCTACCCCAGCTGATGGGCCAAGCAGAAATGAGCTGCTGTGTTCAAGCCACAAAATAGTGAGCAACTCATAAAATGGTTGCTGTTTTGACCCAGTACACTTAAGATAGTTTGCAGTAGTTCAGCTCCCCGCCCCCCATATCCTCTCCATCAGTAAGTTTTCAATTTTACCATTTCAATTTACCAATTTTACAATTTTATCACTGTTCCAATCCTCAAATTAGCTCCTTTCTTTTCTCTTCTGACACCGTCTGAACTCCCAAACTACCATCCACTTTCTTTGACAATAACCACTGCAGTGGCCACATCTCCAATCTGTACACCTCATTGCAATCATAGATATCTTTTAAAGCCAAATATATCACGTCACCCTCTTAAAAGATTTCAGTACCTTTCCTTGGCCCCCAGAGAGAAATAAGTCCTTAGCGTAATGCTTAACCAGGCTCTACCACATTTCCAGCCTCTACCTCCGCTTGCCCTTGTACATGTTTTTCTTTTCTGCCATACTAGCCTTTGGCCCCAGGGACTTCTCATATACCATCCCTCTGGAACGACAGATCAGTACCTCCTTTACTAAGCACCCCTTAGCTAAGTACCTGGTAATCTTTTTTTTTTTAATATTTATTTATTTATTTATTTATGCATAGAAGAACTGGGGTGTAGGCCAGAGGTGCAGGGGTTGAGAGGATTCACCAGAGACAGAGTGGGGAGCAGAACAGCCAGATCTACTGAAATACACTGCTGAGGGGAGCAGCAGGTGAGACAGGAGAAGTCTGCTGTGCCATGTGGTTCAGCTCCCCGGCCAGGATCCAACTCAGGTCACTCAGGCTGCAGCCACAATAGTGTGATAGCGCTGAGACTTAACCCCTATGCCACCAGGGAGGCCCAAATACCTGGTTATCTTAACAGGTTTCGGCTCAAACATCACTTCCTCACAGAAGCCTTCTCTGATACTAGACTAAGCTAACTCTCCCTAAATGTTCCATTTTCTGTTACTTTAGATGCTTCCTCTTGAACCCAATCCTTTTCATATCGAAAAGGCCCAGCAGCCCATGGTGAGGAACCAAGATCCTTGGTCCTCAGCTTCAGATGAATTCCAAGCTGACACACCAACTTGCTAGTAATGTAAGCCATCTTGAAAGTGGAACTTCTCCCCTGCCCAATAAACACACATTCACGGTTCATCAGAGCTGATACTAATGGAGCAGAGATGAGATTTGGCCATGGAACCCTGCCCAATTGAAGACTGATGAGCAAAATTTTTATTTTTAAGCTGTAAATTTGGGGTGGTCTGTTAAATAGCACTGGGTAATTGAAAATCAACCAGAATAATGACCCTGTGCAGAAAGGCAGCCCTCCCTGGGGCACAATCACAGAGCTGTTTGTGATATGTCATCCTGAGCCTTGCTGAGGCCTGTTTGGCCAGGAACCTCTAATGCTTGTTGACATACAGAGTGGAACCCATCAGTGGCAGTCCCCAACGAGGGTGACCTTCCCTCATGTCCACGAAGCCTAGACTTAAATTCAGGGTTCTCTCTCAATCATAACCTTCACTCTCACAATTTGCTGCCATCATATTTGCCCTACATGAGGAGGTCACTCTGTTATGGCTGGTTGAGGTAAATGTTAAATGGCAAGGGACAGTAAGCTGTACCTCACAAAGAATCTAGAGAAGAACACAGTTCATGGTAAAGAATCAGGGATCGCTGCCCCAGAGTAATGTTTGGCTTTGTCAAGGGTAATTCAGGTGAACATTCACATCTGACAGACAAAGTTCTGAGAGGGCTGTGTGCTAAGGCATACCACCTACGTGAGCACATTCTAGGCCCACCCTGTCCGGCACAGTGGACATGAGCCACCTGTGGCTATTTATTAAATTTTAATTGAAAAAAATTTTAATCTGAAAAGCAATTCTTCAGTCATGTGAGCCACATTTCAAGTGCTGAATAGACACATGTGGCTAGCGTTTGTCATACTGGACAGCAGAAAAATAGAACATTTCCAGCACAGATGTTCCTTTGGACTGTATTGCTCTAGATCCTTGAAGACTGGGCAGCAGAAATGACCTGACCCTTAAAGACATGGAAACAGACACAAGATAAAACAAGAACTACCACTGGGACATCCACAGAAATGGTCAACATCTAAATAGGGGCCTGTTTGGGGGAACAGCCTGAGTGACTTACCTGAACTTTCAGCTTCCAACTTCCACAATACCGATAACATTTTCCCCAAACTCCTGTGTAATACAGTCATTTCCTGATTAGGGGTATCACTTTTCATCTTTGGCATCCATCATATTCCTCAAAAATGCTGCACAGCATCATGGTAAAGAACACAGACTCCACAATCAAAATGCCCAAGTCAAAACTGTTCCAAGGGCTTACTAGTTTCCCTAACTTTAGGCAAGTCATTAATTCTTATAGAACTTGCCTTTCATTATCTGTAAAATGGGATATTAGAATCTATTCACAAGTTTATTATGAAATAATACTGATAGACTTAATGGTTCCACAAAATAGTGACCACTAGATAAATTTTAGTTGATGTCCCCCGAGCCTAATCTTATTTGGGTTTCAGGAAAAGGGCCCTCTCAATGGAGAATTGGTGAAGCTCTGCAGACTCCTCTGCCTCCATTTTTAGAAGTCTTCTTCACGTTCCACATCAGTTCTCCTAAATGCGTCAGACTCTTCGGGGGCCCCCTCCAGCACCTTAACTTGGTAACGCATGGCTGCAGTACCGGAGTCTGAGGACTCCATCTGGGGTGACACCACTCTCCTCTCTCTTCGAGCTTTCTTTCAATGCTTCAGCTCAGGCCCTCTAAGTACCAAGTGTGTCCACAGGAAGAAGAGGGATCTTAGGAGGCCCGAATGCCGTGCTGTGAGGAAAATTTGGCCACTGAGGTGGGACAAAAGGGACGTGAAGCTAAAGCAGCAGGGGTTGCCTTAGCTTCCTGGCTCGCTGTTTCACTGGGAGAAAGCAGAGGGCCGGTAAATGGGTGTTGCCTGTTCACCTTGCATTAAAGGAAGTACAGGCCGGGCCCAGTCTGCTCCTCAGGGCGGCGTGAAAAACAAATGATAAAAGCGCAAATTCCCTATGAACTCTTACGAATAGTAAAGGTTCCCGCGCCCCAAGCGGCTCCTTTAAGAGGTGGGCCCCACCTGTGCTAACAAAGGAAGTCCCCGCCCACGGTTGCCATGGTGCTCTGTGAGGTCGCCTTCTCATTGGTGGGTGACGGTGGTGAGGCGCCCAGCGGCAGCCATTTCCAACGAGCTGGCGGGGGCGAAAGATGGCGACGCCCCTCGGGTGGTCGCAAGGGGGGTCAGGCTCGGTCTGTCTCGCCTTTGATCAACTGCGGGACGTGATTGAGTCTCAGGAGGAACTGATCCACCAGCTGAGGAATGTGGTACGCAGTCCGGAGAGCTGGGCGAGGCAGGAGTGGACGAACTAAATGGCGGGGGGCGGGGCCAGCCCCTGTCCGGATGCCGAGGGCGTGCTGAGAGCGCTTTGCCAACTGCGTCATCAGGAGGAGGCGGGGCCGGGAGCTGTTCTGGCTGCCAGGGGTGGAGCCGAAAAGGGGCGCGGTCTTCATGAATATATATATATAGAGCAGGGAATTTTAATCAAAATCAAGCACTGTTCTCCACTCTTTTGCCTGTTTATGCAGAGCCTGGTAGATATTCATTTAGTCACTGAGCCTCAGTTTCCCCCTCAGTTTCTGATTGGAATTGATTTCCCAAGGGGCTCGTATGCAGCTGGAGAAACTATTATCACACTTTTCACTATGGACATTTCCCCGTGTCTAATGTAGCTCCTTGCTGTATACAGTAAGCACAGGTTTGGCCCTTGCACACCCTAACTTAAGGGCTTCCCATCCCTTTTATGTCCCTTTGATTTTGCTTTCTCAATCAAACCCCAGTTCTTGGGTGCAAAGCATTGGGACCACCGTTTTCTGGAAAGGCTTTGTAAAATCCTGAC